AACGAATTTTAAATCCACTCGCTTCTTGAATATAAATAGATTCTTCGCAAAAGGTTAATGCAATTATTCGAAATAAATGGAATGTTTTAGCGTCCTTCAAGTACTTTTAGCTAATTTTTAATCGGAATAAAGGCTCTTAAAGCTTCAAATCTTATTTGTTTATTTATTTATTTATCTATTTATTTATTTATTTTTTGATTTTCTTGAGGAAAAAAATTTGAAAAAAATGATATTTGAAATTTATTAATTATTAAAAAATTTATTAATTATTAATTATTAAAATAAATTTATTAAATTTATTAATCATTTGAAAATAATTTAAATTAAACAAATTTTTATTTAGAAAATAATCAAAGAAAATAAATTTTTTCTCTTTAATTTCGAATTATTTCGAATTAAAGAAAAATTAAAAACCATAAATTTTCAATTAACGCATATAATTTTATTCGTTCGTTTTTAGTACATTATTTGCACGATTTAAATGATAAATTGAAAATAGCAAAAGGAATATTTTTCGGGAAAAAAAATTTATTAGTAGATTAGACGAAAACCAAGAAAAATCGTTACATCCAATGCTTGCCATTTTAATTATATTTCAATATGTGAAATAAATTAATTAATAGAAAAAAACATAAAATTCCAAATTTTTTTTACAAAATAATCATCAATTCCTTCATTTTCTTCCTGTAGAAAAATTGTTGTTGTAAATTAATCGATTAAATCAATTAATTAAGAAAAAAGTCGATTACTGTAGAAAAAATTTCAATTCGACAATAAAACTAATAAAAAACTAATATTTCTTAAATTAGATTTGTAAAAAGGTGAAAAAGATGAAATCGAATAGACAGACGGTTATTCGCCATTCATAAAAATTGAACTATAAATACTTTCGAATTTTTAAAAAATCTATAAAATTTTTATAAAAAAATAAATAATTTAGGTAATAGTAAATAATAAATATTGGGAATAATATTATAATTTTTACATTAATTATATAAATTCATAATTATGTAAATTTAAATTATACACAAATAAATAATCTAAAATATAAGGTTAGTTATGCTAATTTTAAGTATAAAACAAAATTATAAAACAAAATTTTGAATTAAGAAATAAAATTTTTTTGGCTAAATTTTTAGCCAAAATACTAAAATAAGAAAATAAAAAAATAAAACTCAAATCACCAAACATAAAAAACTTAGAGATGTATAAATAAATAAATAAATCTCGTTCGTTCTGTTTCATTATAGCACTAAACATTTCATTATTATTTCCTAAAAAAAGAAATATTTCCAATAAAATAAAATAAATATTTGTATAAAACTATAAATTTCTCTAAAATAAATGACATACAAAGAGAGAAAGTGTGCGCTGATGATAAAGTGCACTATATGGGTGTGAAAATATGAATTCAAGAAAATTTCTTCATTTACTAATTTAGAATTTCCTTGAATTTCATTTGGAGCCCATGTGCTTCACATGTTAAATTTGCTAAAGGGATCCATAGGGAATGAAAAAACCACTGATCCACAGGAAAAATAAAAAGGCAAAGAATCACTGAAATAAACAATGGAAAAAATTTTTTAAAATAATATCATCGAAAAGTTTTCAAATTCATTATAAAATTTGCCAAAAAAAGTAATCCATTTGAAAGGAAGCCAAAAGTTAAGCCAACAATGATTTTAAAAGAAAATTGAAAATGGTTGCCAAAAATTTGAAAAATTTTCTATTTTTCTCATTTTTATCGCTAAAATATTAACCAAATGATTGGCCATTTTTTTTCCGACAAAAAAACTATACAAATAGAAATATTTCAGCTTCAAAAATAAAATATATTCTTGAAATCGACTGCTGAAATTTCGTTATTTTCCGTTGCTCACATAAACGTTCGATTAAACTTCATTTTAGTTCCATTTTAAAGTTTCAAGTAAAATTGGTTTTTTCTATGAAATCTAAATGGAAGAATGAAGAAAAATAAAGATATTCACAGTATGCAAAGTAGTTCCCAAAATATTTCCAACGGATAGACTTAGAGACCAATTCATCGGTAAAAAAAAAGTGAGAAACGAATTTGCAATTATTTGCTTTCCATTTGAATTGCGTTTAATTGAGACAATTTGTAAGTAAATTAAGTTTTATGCTAAAATTAAACAAAAAAAAGGACAAATTCAAGCTAATTAAAAATTCATAAATTAGAAATTTATTGCAATGGAATGGAATATTTTTAATAATGTTATAAAACAAAATTGCTTGGATTAATAATGTTGTCCAAGGGAATAATAAATTCTCTTCCGGGAAAAAAATGTTTATAATTTAAAAATTAAAAATATTATTTTGTTAAAAAAATGATAAATGACAGAAATTAATGGTCACTTTAGACGAAACTGAAGAACTACTGGAGAAAAATTTGTTCTTACCATTATTGATTAGTTGCACTCCGATGGCTATAAAGGTTAGAGGTTCAAAATTTTTCCTGACTGTATTGGTCCAAGTCTTAATTGGCCCACCTGTTGTGGTGGACGACGAAAAACGTGCCTAGCAAGATAAAAACGAAGAAAACGCTGATGATGATAGTGCTGATGCAGGTACTATTCGAGCGATTTGGAGAAAAGTTTGTGTTTCGATTGGTTCATAAAAATATAGATCACCAGCGATATGGCCATAAGCTGAAAATAAGCTTTGGATATAACCATTTTGATTATATTAAAATTGAAATTAAAAGGTTGCAAAGGTTGCAAAATTTGTTCCAAAACCTTGAATGGCATCTTCTAAACTTGCCCATTTTTTTCTTTGCTTTTTCGTCCAATCTTTGAATGTCGTTTCAAGAACAATGGAATAGCAAGAATAATAATTTCCATTGTAATTGGAGAATAGTCAAATTTAATGGCAGCGTTAATTGCATAAGCCAATCTACAATACTCGAAGGGAATTGATAAATAATGTAGTAATAAAATGAAAAAGTTTATTAACGGCATTATTATAAACGTTTATCTAAAATATTCGAACTGATAAAGCAGTGATAAAATAAAATATATCAAGTTTTTTTTATAAGAAAAATAGATGGTATGATGGGTATGTCGACGTTAGGTCGGATTATGCAGATGGGTCATCAGCAATACCAATACGGATTGGTTCTTTATGCTTATAGCGATAGATGCACTACTTTCTGAGGCAGAAACTGTTACTTCTCAATAGCATACTACGATACGAGAAATATCTAAAAATTATTTTAAAAATAAGCCATTCAAAAACCCTCCTTAATAGTTATTCAGAAATTCTTTTAATAGCATCGATTATAATCGTAAAATTATGGATACATAAATTTCGACGGAATATTTGAACGAATTCATATAATTTGTGATATTCGCCGCTAAAAAATCTATTTATATAGCAATAAATTTTTTTGAATAAGAGAAAATTTTTTTTGGTCATAAAATGAGCGATTTATGAAAAAATAAAGTAATAAAAAAGCAAATATCAGAAATTTCCGTTCGTACAAAAAATATAAAGGATTTTATAAATTATTGAAATATTAAATCAGATGGGTGTGAAAAAAAGGCCCAAAATTGTTTCTATCAATTCACTAATTTCAATACTGCTTGTGTAAAACCATGAAAACTGACGATGCAATCTTAAATGCTGTAGCGAATCCGATTTTCACAGTCATAAAAAATGGTAGCTTATTCTAGCCATTTGCATTATGAACCGAATGTTTAGAGATTCTCCAATAGAAAAATTGAAGGTTTCCAATCGCTTTTCTTATGGTACCACAATTATCGAAATATTCCTTAGAAATTTAATATTATTATTATTATTTATTTATTTATACCTGAATTATTTAAATTATTTATTTTAAATTACTTAGTATTAAATTATAATAATTATTTAAATTATAATTATTTAGTACCTATAATTGCTCACGAACAATAAAGCAAATATTAATTTATAAAACTATATAAAATATTAATTTATAAAAATATACATACTGAATAAAAAATAAAAATAAAAAAAATATAGAAAAATATAATATATATAGTCATTTAGAACGAGCAATTAGCAGAAAAATAAACAGTAAATATACAATAAATATAAAAATAAACAAATAAAAAATAATAATCACAACAAATATAATTCGATAAGTCAAAAAAAAATGAATTTATAAAAAATCCAAGATTAATGATTGAATTTTTTGAAAATTTAAGAAATTTTTAAAAATTAATAAATTTCGATATGACAACTGAATTTGAACGAATTATTTCGATAATTTTTTAATGCAAAATTAAACGATTTGATTGCTCTAAAATAAAGCAAAAAATTAATATTTTATTAGTTATTATTTTTATTAAACCGAAACTAAAAACAATAATAAACAAACAATAACAACTATTAATAGTACTAATAAATCAACAAAAAAACTAATAAAATACTAATAAATACAAAATTTTTGTTTTAATATTATTAAATATTATTAATATTATTATTTTACAATATTAAAAAATAAAAATTACTAATAAAAATCAATAATCTATTCATTATTCAATTAAATGTTAAATAATTCAGAAGAAAGCATAATAGAATAAAATACATGAATAAAACATAAATGAAATAGGTGAATAAAAAGAAAAAAAACCGAATTGAATTGTCGGAACGAATGAACTATATTGAAGAAAATGATAATGAATAAAAAAGTAATTTTGAAATTTCTAATAATCCAAAAAATAAATGGATATTATAAAATTTTATCATAATAACATTATAAAAATTAACATATTTGGTGCAAGAACTTACTACTTAATTTAAGGTTAATATTAAAATTGAAAAGCTGAGTTCGTTCTATTAAAGTAACTAAAAATTGAAAATCGCCGACAATTTCAAAGAAAAAAGGAAACAAGTAAAGTTGGCTAATGAGGTGATTAGAAATGATAAAATAAATAAAATTACGCATTTCGCTAGATTTGTATCATTTTAAACCCGTATTAAACAAAAATCTTTCGGTTAAATTATTCAGCGAACCAGTGGGCTATAAGAGACCAACGTTCTGGCGGAGGAAGAGCAAAATATGCGAGTTGTAGATCACTGTACTTCTCGACTGGAGAGCCACAGTCGCGGAATCGACCATCTTTCCAGGATTCATTGAATAAACGAATTGCCTGTTGTTGTTCTTCCGCAGTTTGCAAACATTTCGGTGGTGATTTTTCTTTAAAACTTTCTGTTAAGCGTAGATGCGGAAAGATGAATACCGCACGAAATGCGAAATGTCCTCCATATTTTGGATGAAGACTTAAACCCATCATTCGCTTCTAAAAAAATAATAAAATGGTTTAGCGCTTTGCGTAAATTATTCTTTTTCTTCTTCTAACAGTTCTCACTAGTAGTGGTTAGGCGGGCTCCACTGGCCACAAGCCACAGAAGATGGCGCCCTGCGATGCTACCCAAGTGGTAATTGGGCGAAGGTGTATGCAATCATATGAGACTTTATCTGCTCGACGAACTCGTAAAATGTATATCTTAGACATGAGTGGTAGAAGGCAGATATCCTCCACTTTCATTGGCTTCCAACCATATAGCAAGATCGAGCGGAAGTGCAACTATATAGACGTGGTCGTTGTTTCTATGGTAATTTCGCAACGGCATCATAAAGCTTTTGTCAAACAGAAGAATGCAAAAGAATTACTGTTATCCAATTTTTATTTTTTTGATATTTAATTTAATTTATCTAATTTTTTCAATTTTTTTCAAATTTATTTTTTATTTAATTTTTTGATATTTTAATTTTTGTACTTTATCCTTGTCTTCAACAGGAGTAAACCTGTCATACCAAAAATTGGAGTGACTGCTGAAGATTCACCTGCAACTTTATCACCTCTAAGTGACTCTACGGTGTAAATGTAAATTATTTAAAAACTCAAAGAAAATTTACCATCTGTTCTCCGCTATTATTGGTAAAATTTTCATCATCTGGTCGATAAAAATATGCTGCGCCAGCTGCATGACCACATACTGTCATAAGTATTTTAGGACGCCGATTTGGAAAAAGATCAAAATCATGTATTACGATAGCTTCGATCGGCAGAAGATCCTTAATAACAACAATAGAAAGTAAAAAGTAATATTAGTAATCAGTTTACACTTAAAATAAAATCCTGTTAATCAATATACATTGACCTGCCAAGCCTACAATTAAGTGGTATAGTTTTCGAAGATCAATTCATTTAATGGATAATTTATTCATATCTCAAAGAACCACAAAGAGTATAAAAAATTGTTAATAAATCAAGAAATAATCCAGTGATTAAGATTTTTTTTTCTGAAAGTCCTCACCATTACTGGTTAAACTCGTTCCGCTGGCTTGTCGCACTAGACAAATATACCAGGGAGTCCCTTGGCGATTCGCCAGCATCACCCAGATTTTTGGACAGGTTTACTCCTGTATGGAATAGGACTTCAGCATCGGCGCTCCGAATTAAACAACAACCCACTGAGTTATTCCACCCCCAGTGATTAAAAATACTGGATGTATAAAGCAAAGACGGCAAATCTGAATAAAATCCGGAATGAAGTGATCCTGAATATGGAGATGAAAAGAAGAATGGTGTTTAATCTCCTAACAAGGGTAAAACTGTAACATTAAAAATGGAATTGAAGTGCAATTCCATTATCTAATGGGCCTCTGATGAATTAGTAATATAATACGAGACAAAGCGAAAATAAAACATGCTAAAATAACTTTTAAAATTTAGAAATAATAAAGGGAAAAGCATAAATATTGCAAAAAATTAGCAAAAAATGAACTTTATAAAATGAATAAATACCTTTCGCAATTGTTCAAACTGTTCGCTAAAAAACAACTGTAATGGAGAAGAACCGAAATGTTCTTTTAGTTCTTCAAAATTTCCAAGAATTTTCCACTTTTTTTGCAGCCACTTTTTAAAAGTGACTTCAAAAAACGATGGTGCAGTAATGAAAAGCACAGCCATTGTGTCATCATGAAACGGTAATTGGTAAAGGGTTGAGACGTGCTTGTTATATGTTCCAATCTAAAAGAAAATTTAAATCGGTTATCGAATGTTCGAAATAAATCTAAATTTAAATTCAGTAATGCCAAACCAAATGCGAAAACAGTTGGGAAAACGATTATTCGAAAGGTTTGCACCTTAGGAGCTCTCGGAAGCTCCAAAAAAGCGTAGCAATAGCGCAATGAAATGATATAAACCTGAAGATTTGAACTTTTTTGTGAATTCCAGAGATGCCCAATGAAATAGTCCGAGAGGAAGATGAAATATGTGGTTCTCAAGTAACGCATGGTCTTCAAATTCTGTCCAATAGCATTCAAAGTGTAAATTCGATAGTATGAGAGAAAACACAATCCAAGCAGAAAGACGCAGTTATTCACCGAATTAGCTACAGGTTATCACTGAAATGATTCCTATCGAATGGACTCTTGGCAGACTTGGCTCTGACGATTCTTTCTCGTGAAACGAGATAACCAATGTGACCGACGTATCGCTCGTGTGTTAATAAAGATTGTAAGAATTCATGAATTCATGAAATTCATGAATTTTTTTTATTTTTTAAAACAACTAAGCCTTACGATTAAACAATTTAAATGAAAATGTCGAAGATATTTTATTATTTATGATTTATAAAATATGAAAATTTTCAATTTATTTACATATTTATAAATATTATAAATATTAAATATTATAAAAATATAAAAAATTTTATCTTAAAATCATTTTGTGCTTTTTTTAAAGCAATTTCAGCAATAAATCACCGACAAAACATTATGCAAGTGTTATGATAACCGATTAATTTTGAAGCAATTTTTCCAGCGAGTTCTTTAAATCATTATAAAATATGTTTCGCGAATCGCAGATTTTGATTTAAAGGGATCATTTTTTATTCCAACAAGCCTGATTTATTATTATCGTTATCATTACTGTTATTACTATTATCCGTTTTGTTATCACTTTATTATCATTATCGTTAGTGTTATTTTCATTATTACTACTACAATAACTACTAAGCAAAAAAGTTGGAAAATTATTACTAAAATTATTAAGTTGAAAAATTATGACGAAAATATTAATATTTATAATAATTATTAAATATTAACAAATGATAGAAAAAAAGAAAAAAAAAGAAAACCTTAAAACGGTGACATTCGATTCCTTCAATTGTCAGCAAAAAGTTATTGATGCGTTGAAAAATTTCGTCAGTTGGCTCCATTCAAAAGAAAAGAAATTTAAAACCCTCCGATTTTGTTATGGTATTTCAAAATAATTTTTTAAAATAGAAAACAGCGTGAATGCCTAGAAAAAAATGTATTAATAAGAGAGGTTTTTTGGTCGAAAAAAGGTAAAATAATTCGAATACGAATCGCTGATTACTTCATATATCACTTATCTCCTTTAACTACTATTACTTATCACTTGTAATCACTTCTCCTCATAATCACCTCATTTTCTGATAACAAATTCAGATATAAAAAGTATTTTTCCAAATTATTTTACCAAATTAGAGTGAGGCTGTTTCTTGTCAAATTTTCATCTAACGATAGCGACAACTTTATTCCTGCCAACTGATAGAAACTGATAAAACCGCTTGTCTTCAGGCCGAAATGCCCCGAAAATCAATCATCGGTCATCGAATATTTATCAGTCAGTTATTAGTTATCAGACTTGAAGCAATCTTCCATTTTAATGATTAGTTATCAGCATTTCTAAAGATTTTCCTTATTTAACCGTAATTCAATGCCAAATTTCAGTTGGAGAATTGTAAAAGTAATGTGCAAATAAAGTAAAATGAAGTATAATGGAGCCAATAATTTTATATTTATACGATGTATACTTATGAGATGCAAACTGATACAACTAAAACCAATTCTGTAAATTACTGAGATTTGTCTTCATATGGCCCTCTCTGGCTAAGAGGATATCACTTGTTCGGAAATGAATTTAGCCAAACGATCCGAGCTCGTATAACATAAAAATAGGTCATTGCTTGACCTGGTTAATTATAAATGTCTTTTTATAATTAGAAGAGGTGAGGAGGGGAGGGGGGGGGGGAGGGGGAGGAAGGGGGGACAGGTAAAATTTTAAAGATTGAAATTGAAGATGAATTAAGAATTGCCGCAATTTCTTTAATATTCATTTATTAAAGGACTTAAATAATTCTGCAAAGATAAATGCGAAAAAAAAGAAGGTAGATGATCTATCGATGGATGAGGCTGACGGATTGATAAATACTACTACTGCTGTACTATTTTCTTCAACTCCCATCATTCACTAGCTATTTGCCATAACAAATCGATATAGATCAATCTAAAACCCGAAATAACCCGAAATCAAGCCTCGCTCGATTCAGGCTTAGCCCTTAAAACTAACCCAAAACCCACCTATCTCAATACAACTCAAATTTTTTTTGTATATATACTATTAGACCGACAGTTAGTAATGACAGTTAGTGATAGTTAGTGATAATGCCATACAAAAATGACATCACACCTCAGTTATGTGAGAAACGGACTGGGGAGAGACGGGGGAGGGGTTAAAAAATAAATAGCCAATTTCCCATTTATTAAAAAATTCAAACCTCGATGTTGAACTTTATTAATCATTCATTAAAATTCACATTATTTAAGTACCAATAAAGTGATTAAAAACAGAAATTTGTAATTTAATTTAGGGTCACATGCAAACATCAAAGATCATTGAGGTCACTGTCGTCGACAATCTATGAAACCAAATGCAATTTTTTGGAATTTGAAACAAAATTTAACAATACAAACACAGCAAATTTTAATAGTTTAATATTTTGAATTTGTACATATATTTCATTATCATATCAGTTCTCGTATTGTCATATCACAGGGCGAAATCTCATAAAATCCTTTACATTCCTTTTTATTAATAAAATAAAAAAATGACTGAAAATCTAGGACAGAATAAATCAATAAAATATATTTGATAAAATTGATAAAATTTTTCAATTTTTTTATCAATCAATTATCACCATAATTCGGCAAATTAAATTCAATTAGTCTAACAAATAAATCTGAAAAGTTTCGAATTATGGCAGACAATCGGCTTATGAGAGATTCTTTGACGGACAAAAAAAGATTTATGGTACTATTTGGGTACTTGTATGATTATAAAATATTTTTCTATTCAACTTTTTGTTCTCAACATTTTCTTTCTTCTAATTTCCATAATTGTTTTTATTATTTTATTTATTAATTAATTAATTCACATATAGCATTTCACCAAATTTTACCATATTTCACCGGATTTCACCAAATTTCACCAGATAAATATTTAGTATTTGAACAAACAATTTTATAAATAAACGTTTTGGTCCAAGTAGTGCAAGAGAAATCCCCTTAAATTTTGACATATCGATAAGAGAAACCTTATCATTTATCTCAGAAACTTTCGTTACTTTCGTTAAAACCACTAAGTTGTGGCCGTTATTCCGAAGCCTGAAGCAAGAAACCTTGCACCGATATTGGTAGCATAAGCAAGAAACCTTGCACCGATATTGGTAGCATAAGCCGCGCTTTAGTACAACGTTGAAATCCACGTTGCATTATAAAACTGCATTTTAGTAATACGGTGAAAATGTATATTTATGTGAGCGTTGCAGTTTGTGTTGTATTGGGTATTGGCCGTTCAGTTATTGGTACCAACCTGCTTGCTGAGGATAAACTTCCCATATCATTGGCATATCAAATTATATTCGATAATAATAAATAAAATTTTATTAATTTTATTATGAATAATATGAATTTAGAAAAAAGTTTTAAAAGGAAAAAACGAGATATTTTCAATTCTGAAAATTGGTGAATTTTAGAAATATTTCATCGATGAGTTAAAATATCCTTTTATTCATATTTGTTGGTTCCATTAAAGTGGTTATTTAGTTTTTATAATGTAAAGTTTTTTAAGGCTTTGCCGATATTGGCAATTTGGAAAATGTATCTCGTCGATATTTTGGTTTTAATGCCGACTTAAGGCTCTCATACGCTGACGAAGACACCGAAGATAAGGAGTCCATAAACTGAAAACAAATTTGACAAATTATGATTATAAATTTTAAAATTATAATTATTATAATTATAATTATAATAATAATAATTATTGTAATTATATTATTATAATTATAATTATTGGAAAATTAACAAATTAACGAATTAACAAATTTAAATTTGCAATAAAAATATATAAAAAATGTAAACTATATATAAAATATAAAAATAAAATATGAAATTTACTAAAATTCTCGAGAAAAAAACTAACTGCTTTAGCAGTTTCTTCGCTTGTGATTGCATTAATTAGCGTAAATAAAAAGACGATTGCTAATAATTTTTTCATTTTCAGCTGAAATATTAAAACTTTTTTATGAACAAAATAATTAAAAATAAAAAATAAGAATGTGATTCATTTATTTTGGCTCTAATTAAACAAAAATTTTAAAATTCATTTTACTATATTTCAAATGAAAAATTTTCATTTATTTTATTTGAAAAATAAGTGAAAAATAATTTTTCGTCCCAAAAATACCAATTTTATTTATAAAATTATTGTCGTAAATTTCAAATATTGCGAGGAATAATCGAATTAATTAAAATAAAAATTAGTTAAATAAAATTAAAAAAGAGTAAATAATTTCACCAAATGAATACTTTGGAAAATCTCAAAGTTTTTGCCTTAAATACTAACTTTCAATCAAAATATTTTTGTTTTTCAAGGCATTTAATAAAAATATTTTCGTCAGTTTCGATGTTTGCAAGAAATTTTAGACAATTTCAAGTTTTGCGAATCGAGTTTGCAGATGGATTACCGCATTACAGCTCATTTTATACTATCAGAAGTGGAAGATGTCGACTTTATTTATATCACCATAGCAGTTATTTTCACTAAAACTCGTAATTATTTATGTCTATTTATTATCACAGGGAATCAGATTTAACAGTCATATGATATGATAATGAGCAAAGATTTTCATGAAAGCTAGCTTATGTGATAAGTCTATATGTGATAAGTCTAAGGTACAAGGCATCGGCCTTGTACAGTTTTCTCCGTGGCCTGTGCAGATTTTTCTAGGTTTTACCATGTGTGAGTTACTTTGAGGATACAATCGCTATTTTTGATTCACTTGTGATTAAATGAATACGTGAGGTATTTTTTTTTATAATCTCACGTTTCACATTTCACTATTTATGATCCATAGCGATCTTCGCTATGCAGTGATTTGCGAAATTTCAGTTATATGAAGAGATTCAGTTATATGAACAAATATAAAATGGTGTCGCGAAACGGCGAAAGCAAAAAGACTGCTTTGGAGTCGGCTCGCTTCCACTTCCTTTTGGGCTCCGCCTACGGGACTTTTATCCTCCACTGGACCTTTCGTCAACATAGTTCATCTTTTTGTATTTTTTCGTGCTTCATTGGCCTTTTTTTGCTTTTCATGGATGTCACCGTCTTCTTATATATTTGAATCTTTTTTGCTGATTCGCTATTTTGGCATGGCACTAAACTGCACCATTCTGAACTGAACTCGTGAAATCTGTCTTATCAACCTACTCTTCATTGATCCTTGATTGAATGATAATTCATTTGTTGAAATAAATAACAAATACTGGTCCGAATCCATTTCCCATTTAGTAGCTTTTTGCCATCACCGTTTCGCGACAAATGAATTATATGAATGAATTATGGCTCATTTTCGTGGTAAAGCAAGTGAAAGTAAGTGCGGTGAGGCTTACTGAGGTGTTAAAACTCTGAAATGGACCACAACGCCTGATGGAAATTTAGTAGTATTATGAGTTAGTTTTTCAGAGATTAATGACAACCGCTCAATTTTTGAACGTGCCTTTCTGGACATATTAATTTATTAAATTCTCTATCACCATTATTTTTGAAACCTTGGCAAAATCGACCCATAAAAATCGACCCATTCTTGGAAACCGAACAACCGAATTTGTCGCTCTTATTGATTTTGCTTCCGAGTGATTTGACGATGCACTTGTACTTCTAAAGCCAAGCGATTTCGTAAAAAACTTCCCGTCTTACCTTTACTGCCAGCTAAGTCCATCTTATCAGAAATATTAAATGCCAATCACTTACTTTTAGCATTTTATTTTTATTCTTATGCTTTTAAATGTAGTAATTTGTCTCTTTAACATTTTTTTGCCAATTTATTTTCACTTTAGGGTTATCTCTAATTTAATGAATAAATATTGCATTTATTTTCTTTTTATTTTTATATATTTTATTTTATTTTTATATATTTTTTTTACATTCGTTCATAATTTTTAATAATAAATTATTTAATTAAATAGCAAAAATTTGAAAATATTTTTTGACGATAATCAATCACAATTTTCAATCACAATTTTCTAATATTTTTCCTTCCGTGATCATACGTTTTCACACATAAATGAATTGTTCTTCGGTTCATTCGTTGATTCTATTTGGCCAAAAACAATAAACAAACTCGTCTTATGAGGGTAAATTTTTATTTTTAGTTCAAAATATTTCCTCCTAAACTTTCCTTTAACGGTATTTATACAAATTTTATACGCATAATAAATATTTTCGATGCGATAGTAAAATGTAAATATAAATGAAAAATATTCTGATCGAAGTAAAACAATCCATTTTTAACAAAAACTCTACCTTAAGCGAATTGCAATCAGTATTGATATACGAAATTTCGGGTGAAAATTCGAAAACTGCCAAGTACTTATTTTGCGTTTATTCAGTACCACTCTTATGTTGATGCTCCTTTCGATTAAATCAAATTTTCGCAGTTTTCAATTTGTTTCAATTTAAATTACACCAATTCACGTTCGTGAAATATACCAAATTATTAGTAATTTTTTTTTTTTAAATGACAGCTAAAAGCTTTAGAATTTACCGAAAACTATCAAAATATATGTACTTAATCATATCTCCCCGCATTATATAGTTTGGCAAATGAGGATTCATTTATTCATTTTTATCCATAAAGTAAGATAAAACTGCATTAAAAAGTGGCAATAAATAAAGAAATATTATGATGATGAATATTCGCAAACAATACATTTATCTCCAAATTAATTTCACCATAATCTCATAAAAAGGCCATCACTAACCAGATTAGACGACTCGAATATAAAATAAATGCATTGTTTAAATATAATAATCACGATTAATAGTTTTCTCATAATTTTCTTTCTCTCTTCACCCATCATCTTAAAATTGCAAAAAATCCGACATATTTAAATAAATTTAATAACAAAAAATACAAAATAACGAAGCCAATGAAAACAATACGTATTTTTTTGATTCCGCTCGCTACGTTCGTTTTTCTTTCAAATTTTCCTGAATTTCTAAAAAATTCCAAATGTAACACCTCATGGAAGATTTATTTAAGCAAAAAAGAACATAATTAAAGATAATAAATTCTGCCAATGTAATATATATCCGTAATAAATTCAATCTTTTCTAAATGAACTTTGTAAAATAACCACTAATGCACTTTTCCACCATCGTCCAAATGCCGATGCACCATTTCTTCTTTCGTGATTAAGTGTGAAACCTGAAAATCATTGGGTAGGATTAATCCCAAGCCAATATTGTTTTTCTTGAAAAAAATTTAATCTTCAGTTGAAAAATGAAAAATTCCCTTTGCAAATTCCCTTCGATTTTTGGCAGAAATTTTCTTTTTGTATTTTTTAATAACAATAATATTGATATTAAATATTATTTTAGGAAAATTTTAGAAAAATAACAAACCTTATTTAAGATGTCTGTCAGTTGACGAATAGAAGTAGCCCATTGGTCAAGCTGCTCAATATTTGCTTTTCTTGCTCGTAAATTGACAATTCTTGATGGCCGATGAATTTTCGCATCCGGAAGTGTACCGTTAACAATCAAATTACATAAGAAGTCTTCCATGATCTAGAAAAATTGAGGCTATGATCAATATCAATACAAAAATTAAGTAAAAAATGCATAAAACACATGTACTAAATAATACTAAAAAATATATATACTAAAAATAAAATTATCCATAATAGCGTCCAAATAATACGAATCAAATTTCTGAACCTTTTTCTGTTGAGGGTTTCTTTTTTAGCTAGTGAAGCTTAGCCCTAATCAAAATTTAAAATGCATTAAATGAAAAGATTAAAATAAAAAGGATTAAAATTGAAAAGCAATGTATAAAGATATGCGATTTTTATTGGTGATAAAAATTGCTATATTTATATAATTCCTTGCTGACAATAATTAAAAATTGGAATTTGAAGAAAATGAGATGTAAATGTAATTTTTTGTTTACTCTGAAATAAACAATGAATATTGAAAGATGAACGAAAAGAAATATAAAAATAAGCCAATTCACATCAGGTGGATAATCAATGAGTTGCGCCAAACGATCAAACGTGATCTGAGTATAATATTTGCCAATCATACGCATATTCTAGAAGCAATATAGAATCAAAAAATATTAATATTCGCCGATTATATAAATTCAGAAAAAACGAAAATAGATTTTATTTACATTTTAAGAAAAATTTAATATGATTTTCAATAATTTTTTCCGAATAATAGATTTGAAAAAAAAAATTACGTGTTCTCCAACTCGAGTCTGAAAGTCAAGCCAATGTTTTTCGCCGACTTCATTATCAGCAAAAATTCCTGTCGCATGATTCTGCGCGGTACCTTTACGAAGAAGAACTTGGAATTGACGCAAAATCACTTGCTAAAAATACTTTCTACTTTCTACTTTCTACAAAATCTATTCATCTATTAAATATTACGCTTTAATACTGATAATACCTTCCACGCAATAATTTCTTGATTTATGAATAGTTCTAAAAGCGAATTATATTCTGGAACAATCTCAAGTTTACGCATCAAGTGAATTCGATGCATCAAATCCCATTGCTCATTAGTGTAAGGGGCTAACAGAACGTATAATACTATACATTTTATCACCTGTAACATACAATATATTAAAATAATTTTTAATATATGCAAAATAAGAAAAATTATCTAAAATTGGCAAAAAAAGCCATAAGAATCAAAAGAAATAAAAATTTGAAAAATTTCAACTCACATGCTTTGTCTTCTCAATATCGGCTTGTATTGAGGGAGTATCATAAACTTCGAGATAATATCTACATAAATCCAAATAAGCTTTATCATTCAAAGCTAATTCTACCATTAGATCATAATATTTCAATTTCAAACTTTGCACCTGAATTACGAACAAGTTATTTTATTATTTTATTTTTATTTTATATTTTTATATTTTTTGCTTAAAGAGTTTTTACCATTACTGGTTAAACTCGTCCCACTGGCTTATCGCATTGGGCAATATGCCAGGGAGTCCCTTGGCGACAGAAATACAGGTGAGTTGCCAGCATCACCCGGCAGTATTTTATTATATTAAATAATTATGATTCTCACAAATATAAAAAAAATCAAAACAAAAACCATTATTTTTCAAAAAAATTATTTTTCACTTTTAAGATTAATTTTCTGTGAAAATATGAAAAACGATATTACCGCATCACTCTTATCTTGGAAAAATTTTTTTGAGATTTTTTTGGTTATTATCGACGCACGAATAAAATCTTTTCGCATCAAACACAATCGCATCTGTTCCAGCAATAATTCAATCTTAAAATAATTCATATAAATGAATAGACGAAACAGAAACAATTTATAATTAGATTTTTTGATAATTAACATATTCGAGCTGCTTAACGAGAATTCAAATCTCATACTTTCTCCTGCATTTCCATTGACCCATATGTTTCAATTTCCAATTCTAAAAGCATAGTAGCTGCTTCATCAATTTTACCTTCAGATTCCAGTTTTTTAACCAAGCGATATGTAAGACGCGCTCGTTCTACTTCGACATATATCTTTAAATAAATTTTATCCAGAATTATATGAATTTTATTGAAAACTGAAAATTTCGCAAAAAAATTTAAATTATAGCTCTAAGAAAGTTAAATAAATATTTAATAAATAAATATTTGATAAATAAATAACTAACTAACTTATTAATCGCTAATTTTTAAAAAAAAATTGCCCTGCTCACCATTATCTCTTTTGTTCGCCATAAATCTCTATTGGAAAATAAAATGGATTCATTGATAAAATAATTTATAAAAAAGAAAGAGCTTTTACAAAAGAAACATACTTTTCCGCCAGTGATTGTTCGCAATGTTTCGATTAATTTCATTTTCACTTCTTCATTAGGCATTTTATCAATCATTTCACAACAATCACGCACCTAAAGAAATGTTGAAACGTTAAAAAAAAGGAAGTGAACCATAAGCAATAAAAAATTAAAGTCCAATATAAAATAAAATCAAATATAAAAATTAAAAGATAAATATGAACTATTATATGAAGTATAAAACTAATATAGATATAAGTATAAATATAAAACTATAAAATATAAATATAAACTATAAATTCAGAGAAAACATAATTCGAAATAAAGCCAAAGGTAAAAAAATTGTCATATAATAAATTGATAGAAATTTGCCCAAAGATATTTGAAAATATTAAAATTTTCAACAATAAAATTAAAAATTAATAAGGAAATAAATAAAAGTAATAATACGGGGAAAGAATGACAGTACAATACTTTAATTAATATATAAAAAACCTCCTACAATGAAAAACTTTTCTGAAAGTGGCAGTGGCAGTGGCAGTTAATTAAAATTTATTTTATTTTAATCACTATATAAAGAAATTTAAAACCAAATGTTTTCCATATTTTCTTATATTTTTTATATTTTCTATTAAATAAAACTGAAAATAGGAAATGTGAGCTAAAGAATATTCTAAATAGAAAAGATATCTACCATTTTTGCAATAGCCATTTTAATAATTGAACGCTTTTTTGACAAAACCGTTATAGTGTCATTAAGAAAGGTCCAATTCGCACCTTCAAAACACAGTTTCACCATATATTCAACAATTCTTGTATTCGATCGCATATCAACTCCAAGACGAGTGAGTTTCTCCAACGCTGATAAGGAATCAACTGCACCAACTACATCACCAGTCTAAAAAGTCAACCAAAACATTGGAAAAAAAATTAAAAAAGAATTTAAAAACATTAAAATAACCATTGAAGTATATAAATAATGAACAGTGAATGATATATTAAACAAACATATATAAATAAATAAATTCATAATAGAGTAAATTTAATAGGGAAAATAATAAAAAAAATGAATACTCTTGCAATCGCATCGGCTTTAAGCAGTGCTTCATCAACTTGCGAAGTGTAATCGATTTCCATCTTGAACAAGCGACCATCTCCCTCCTAAACGATAACGCAATGAAGCCAAAAAAAGCCCATAGACAAAATTAACAAAACAAAACTTTACTTAAACTCAACAAACTTAGCAAAAAACTTGACAAAACTTGCAAGTGAAAAAATTTCAATTTTTTTAAACAAAACAAAATAGCGTATGATCACAGTCTCATGAAATTTGTTAATGCAATATATCAGTTATTAACCGAAAAATTTGATGATTGGGGAAAATCAACAGTTCATTCCAAATCATCCACTAAGAAATTGTTTTACCACCGCTAGATAAATTAAATATTCTAGCAACATACGTTATTTTTTTTTGTTTCTAAAGTAATTAAAGAAAAAATGATAAAATTTATCATTTACGTGTGCTGCAAGGCTTGCAAAATCATCGTCTTTGTACGATGGATTCAACGTCATATCTGATCGTTTTCCAGCACGAATTGGTGATACTTCTCGCTTATCCATCTCTCCCACTCTTCAGTTTTCCTTTAAAGTGAAATGTATATAAATTATATTTAGAAACATCGATGACAGTGAGATTCGAGGCTTGAATTCGAGTCCGCCGATGCATCACTCTTTACTCTTTACTTGGCTGTGAAAGAAAAAAACAAGAAAAAAGAGTAGAATGGTTTGGAGGATTGTCGCTCAGTTCGGAGCGCGGACGCTGATATTCCACTTCTCACAAGAATAAAACTCAGAAAACCAAAAATCGGACAATACTGGCGATTCAACTCTAATTCTGTCACCGAGGAACTTCCTAGCACATTTTCCTAGTGCGACAAATCAGCCGAGCGAGTTTAAGACAGCCATTAATGGCTCTTAAAGAAAAAAAAAATTAGATAAATATAAATAACGAAAATTAATAAACGAAACAAAATTTGAACCAAAAGAAAAAATAGAAAATGGAATTTTTATAATAAAATTTATTGAATGATTTAAAATTATTGAATCAAAAATATTGTATTATTTTTTAAACATTATTATTTATTACAAATTTATTATTTATTATTATGTATTATGTAAAATTATTATATTTATTTATTATATGAAATTAAAATTATTATATTTATTTATAATATGAGACATAAATATTATAATAATTAAAATATTTTTTAAATATAAATCAATTTATATTTTTTAAATATAAATATTTTTATAAATATAAAAATATTTTTTAAATATAAATCTCGACGATTTTTATCAAAGATTTTCCATTTTTTTCAAAATTCAGTTGATTTATCGATTAATTAATCAAAAATCACAAAATCACAAAATTCATCGCCCATCTATCTAAATCTATTTAAAAGTAAAAAATCAAATATACGCTGCAAATTACCTACAGAAGTGCATTTGTTTGATGAAAAAAAAATGAACCTCGGCTGAATCCAAAAGAAAAAATGCGGCCGCGGCCATGGACGAGGATGGCCCAAAAAGTTATTAAATTAACGTTTTTATCAGATTTACTTTTAATTTATTCCATATTTTGATGTTTTCAAAATTCTTTTATTTTACCAATAAATTTTATTATAGATTAATCGACTGAAAAAAGTATGAATAGAAAAGGCAAAATTTCTTTTAAAAAACCAAGTAATTCAGATTTTACAGCTAAATTTTCTTCATTGTCAACATTTGATCTTTGCCAAAGCATTAACTTTTATTAAAGATGCTCGCTTTTCGTTAAAAAACCCGCCCTGCCCGCTATACATACGTCTATCGCAGTTCGTGCTTCGTTTGCTATGTGGCTGAGTGGTGATGAAGACGAGTTGCGGACGTTTGATGCAGAGTTCTATTCCTCGGCCGCGTGATGTTTAGTTATCCCTGTCTTAGGAAAATCTTCTGCAGATAAAAGATTCCTGACGGCCTTCCGGTGCTTTTGGCGAGAGAAAGATTGCTTATTGTTGATGGTTTTCCGGAAATTTTGGTGGGGGGAGGGCTTTTGGCGGGAATTGTATTTATTTTACCTATTATTTTCAATATAGTTTTTTTTGAATTTTGTTTAATCATCAAATTTTAAATTTTATAAATATTTTTTTTAGAAAAATGGTAAAAAAATTGCAAAATCGTCATGGGTCGGTTTTTTTTGCAAAAGTCTACTTTCTTCAATCAAATTTTTTTCACGTGCAATTACGTGTTTTTGCGTGTAATTACATGTTTTTGTTACGTCAGATTTTCAGTGATTTATTTCAACTTTCACGTTTAATATTGTTTTTTTCTCGTTCCTATTCCAGTCGAATATAATTTACATCGTTGTTTTCGTGTATTTTATTATTCTTAAATTTAATTATAAATTTATATTTCAGACAAATTTACTAACAAAATTGATAGAAGATTTTGTTGCTAATTCATCTTAACTTTTGTTATCAGTTATCTTAGTTGATCAACTGATAAATCAAAATGGAGAGAACTTTAGCTCCACCTCAAGGTTCCAATGTTGGTTCAAATTTCAATAATATCAATAATAATCCTCCACAAGTACCACCTGGTTCGTTTGTTTTATTTATTTTTAATAACTGTTGACAATATTTGTACTTCTTATAATATATTAATTTACGAAATTTGACGAACTGAATTTTTTTTATGAAATAATGGAATGAATAAATTGAGAGAAAAATGTAGGTGACCAATAAAGGAAACTTCTTATCAGTTATTACCGATATTTAAAGGTATTTGAATTAAGTTTATTATATCGTTCAACTTTCGATACTCATTTCTCATTAATAATTCTTTGAAGCTTTGGAATTTCCGATAGATTTTTTTTTAAAGATGATGATACGCGGAATATAATCGATCGTTTGGCTGAATTTGTTGCAAAAAATGGTTCGGAATTTGAAGAAAGAACTCGCAAAAAACAATACGGCAATCCAAGATTTGCTTTTCTATTCGGTGGCGAATTTAGTGATTATTATCGCTTTCGAGTGATGCAGGAAGTACAACAATGTAAATTCGTTCTTCAATTGATATTAAATTTTTTTAAATTGTTTTATTCTTTATTAACTTTAATGTCTTCAAGGAGGGACCTTCATTATTTGATTAAAAAATTTGATTCTTGAGATTTTTTCTTCTAACAGTGCGCATTATTTTTGGTTCAGTAGTTAAAAGACTCCCAAAGTTGCTATGTCTTTATTAACTCCTGAGACATTCAGGAGGCTCTTACTCATTTGCCTATAAAGAGGGAGAATAATTTTTTGAACATACTATCAAAAAAACCTGCAATTCTGTATGTTATTTTCATTTAAAATCATATTTTAAGAAAGCAAATTTTAGTAAATCAAGGCACTGTGCCTCCTTCGCAAGCGATCCAGCCTTCTGCATCATCTGTGCACCAATTTGATGCATCTGCAGTTTTAGCTCAGATTAATACTTTAAACCAGCAGATTGCCGACAGTGAAGCAAATCTTCGTGCTCAATTTGAGTCAATCGAAGTTAGACGTGAAGTGTGTTCATAAATGAGATTTTCGAATGAATTAGAAATAGCAAAATATATAATCTAATGATCTGTCCTAGTTACCAAAAGGAAAGCTATTTTGGGATTTTTCCTAAAGAAAATTATAGGAAAAAATTAAATAATCGTTTCTAATTTTAGGCGCAGTTGGCTGCAGCAATTGAGGAATCTGAGACGAAGAAAATTCTATCAGTATGTGAGCAGGTTTCGCTCAACGTTGAACCACTTTCAAAATTATTGGATCAATTAAGTGGTCATTGTTCAAAAGATGTCATTTCGGTATGTTTGTTATTTAAAATTCGAAATTAAGGTTCTAGTAAAGGTTAAAAGATTAAATCTTTCTAATTAAAATTTCTATTAGGTAGAAAAACTACTGTGGAAATACTGCTTCATCATAGGTTTGTTTCATAATTCTTGATGAGAATAAAAATAGTTTTTATGAACCTTCTTCTTTTCATCCCAAACATTCCTGGCGATTCACTGTAATTAGAATCATTCTAGTATAATCAGCCAGATCAGAAATTGTGAACGTCAGATGACGAAGATTTTGTTTTAAAGAATTATCATTCAGCCTATTTTATTCACATTTTGTGAAAAAGTATATTTTTTGCTCATTATTTATTTTCAGAATAGTAAAAAGTGGATATTTGAGCACTGTACAACAGATCGACTTCGAGAAGCTATTTTGATGTACTTACTTTATCGTGTTAAGGAAACTCGGGCGACTGAACAATTCAAGCTTCATATCTTATATCTTATCAATGACTGGGCGCATCATTGGTATGGAATAGTTTCTTTGCTTTTCTTATTTTATATTTTATATATTTGCAATTTTTATCAATAAACTGGTATTTTTCCAATATATCAATTCTTTAAATTAAATTTTTTTTAAAATTATTTAATAGGCTTTATATTTTCAAATCGAAAAATTATTTTTGCTTAAAAATTTTTCAACATTTTCAATATTTTCTTTTTAAATCTACAAATAAAACTTTTTTTAGTCAAAGAAAAAAATTAGATGCGATTCGGCAAATGCTTTCACGCTATGTTCCGCAGTTGTATGCATTTACAGCACAAGGAGTAAAAGATGCTGCACTTAATGAAAAACTTGAAAAATTGATCGGAGTTTGGGAAGGGCATAAATATTTTGACGATGGTTGCTACAAGGTTTCACTTTCACTTTTCATTTTTCACTTTGCTTTCACTTTTTATTTTTCCATATATTTACATTCCTGTAGCAAGATTAAATGCTATTTTCCTTGTGTCAAGATTTAATGCTTTGTTATTTAGCAACTTCGAAATCCTCTTTTATTATACCAAAATTGGAAAAATGCTCAACAAGCAGAATATTCAAAAAAATCGGCGGAAATTCATGCACAATTGTTGGCTGCGTATCGCGGGTATGAACAGCAACATCTTGAATTCTCTATGCATTGTCGTAATCAAATTGCTTTACTTCAGCAGCAAATAGACGAACAAATGAATAAACAAGGTTTCTTTCCCATTTATTTCCTTTTTTTTGTTTAAATTTTTGTAATCTTTTTTTCCTTAGTGATTTTAATGTTCGATTGCTTAAATCTTTTGAAATTTTTTTTCACATTTCTGTTTTATAGATTTCTCTCAAATTTCCAATTCCATTATTCTTTTATTTTAGTTGGTGCATCTTCTTGCTCGGAAGTTATACTTAAACCACCTATGAATCGTCGTGAAAGGCGTTCACGTTTTGATCAAAAAGTGGCAGGGCCGCCACCAGAACTCCCACCAGAAAGTGATTATGGACGCTTTTTTGCTGCTCCACCTTCTGGTTCTTCAAAATGTCCTTCACCTAGAGGTGAGAAATGCATGAAATCTTGAATTTTCATTTTAATAATTTACTGTGATTTAACAATTCATTCAGATGAATCACGCACCATCTTTATATGTTTAATTGAACACTTTTTCTTGATAATGCGAACCATTTCTGGTATGACTACCTTCACCGACTACTGCGCTAGGCACCAGGGATCGTGTAAACTTGTGGGGATAAAAATGCCTCCCAACGTCAAATCGATTTCAAATGATAGAAATTAATCATTAAATATGGATATAATGAATCATTACTTTGAAATGAAAAGGTTTTCCAAGGCATGACCACTCGTAATGTGGGATAATTAATCGTAACATAATACAGCAAAATACAGCAAAAACTCTTTTCTCTTTTATTTTCAATATTTAGATATCTACCACGCTCGGCCAGATGAATGTGATGAACCGCCTTTTGCCCTATATAATGAAAGAGAATTTCCAAATGAGAACAGAAATGAACCAGGTCCTAAAGATGCAATGTTTAATCTTAGGCCGCCATTCCCAGGCGGACCGACTATGATGCGTCCTCCTTGTGGTCCACCACCTGTACGTATATATTCATCTTATTTCGAATTCAGGACTGCGATTAATCACATGATTTGGGCTTCATCTTTGTTTAAATAAAATTTAAATTCAATCATTAAAAAATTATTTAAAGATATTTGATGAATCAGCGCTTATTCCTAGTTGTCCATATTATAATTTGCCAGCTGGTATGATGATGCCATTGATCGAAATGGGTGATGTTCTGGTGAGTTTCGTATTAATGAGTGGAGATAAGTTTTTTTCGCTTTGTTTTTTTGGTTACTGTTAGCATTTTTTGAATTAATTTGATATAATTAATACCTTTACTTTTAACCATATTTGACCATTTTAGCATAAATTTTTTTTCAGTATAAACCTGTCATAGTTTCGAAATTGCGACTACCTCCACCTATTCCACCGTCAGAACGTTTGTTGCGTGCTATTGAAGCATTTTATGCTCCACCATCTTTTGAAAATCCTCGTGATGCGTATGATTTTATTGTTGTATTATTGAACTTTTAAATTTAGTTATAATTCAAACTAGAAATTTAAAAACTTAAAACTTAAAACTAAAACTTAAAACTTCTTGATTTTGGTTTGAAAAATTATCTCCAAATGAAAAAATTAATGATATTTACCTACAAAATTTATTAAAAATTTCATCATTATTTTTCTTTTTCTTATTCTCCTAGTAATTAGTTATTTTCATTAAATTTCATAAAACTGTAGACCTTCAAATTAATTATTATCATTAAATTTCATAAAACTATAGACCTTCAAATTTCATAAAACTGTAGAAATTGATTCAACAATTTTCATAAAACTAAAAATTGTTGAATCAATTTCTCTCTTTTTTTATAGTTTATTGTGCATACTATTTAATTTCTTTTTGAAAAGTTGAAATTTTTACGAATTTTTGCGAATATGCGAATTTTTTTTAGTGATGGTTGGGAACGTCTCGGTTTATTTGAATATTACATGAAAAAAAACGATATAAAGAAAAGATTAGAAGAAAGTCTAAAACTTGAAGGGAAAACTATTGAAGATGCTATAGAAAATATTTACATTGAAGATAATGATGAAGAAAAAAATGACGAAAAGATAAGGCGCTCGACTTCCAGGTTCTCGTTTTTTTAAATGATTTTACTATTTGATCTGTATTATCATTAATCCATAATTGTTGACTGGTTTTTCTAGGCGTAGTTCGACTTCATCACGAAGTAAATCAAGTAGTAGTAGTTCATCAAGCCGATCACGTAGAAGAAGGCGTCGTAAGAGGAGTCATTCTATCAGCAATTCTGGCTCCAGCTCCAGTTCATCATCACGGTAAACTTCTGTGAAAATGATTGGTTTAGATTGGAAAATGTCTTCATTTTGAATTATTTGTATATTTTGAGGGGCCGTCGTCGATCTCGTCGTTCTAAATCACCATCGCCTCGACGTCGACGTCGTTCAAGCTCTCGCAGTGCTTCTCCAGAATCTCGTCCTGCTTTTGGTGGTTCATCAAGAAGAGATAGTCGTAGTCCTACTCCCAAATTGTAAATCATTTATTTAAATATAGAGCAAATAGAGCATAATATATAAGCAGTATTCTGGTTTTTTTAAAATCTATTTTAAACATTAAAAAGGATTGCCAAATATTTTTTGTTAACTAGTTGCAAATAAAAGATTTCTTGTATACAATCTCAGAATTCTTCTTTCAGTTTACTTCCCAGTGGACCACCTCCAAGGTTGAATGCTGCTAACAAGGGCGCCCAATTACTTGCAAAAATGGGTTGGCAAGGTGGAGGACTTGGATCTGAACATCAGGTTCTGAAAATAATTCATTTTCTCCACACTCCCATTTTGATGTTTTATAATTTTTTTTGTTATGCTTTAGTTTGCCAGTTAATTTTAAATTATTTGCTATTACAAAGTTTTTTATTTTTTTTTTAAAGTAACTTTTAATATCTAACAAAAAATTATCTATTTATGCTATCGTCCTAGTTTTTTTTCTTTCATACTGTTTACTATTATACAAAAATATATTTAAATGTTTCTTGGTACTTTTTAAGCGATATAATCAAATTGAATTAAAGGGTATCAAAGAACCTATCAGTGGAGGCGAAGTACGTGATCATGTTGATCAGTACAGAGGAGTTGGATCGAAACCAGATATGTACGAAGAATATAGAAAACAAATGAGCGGATACCATAGAAATAGAAATCGACGATTTGATTAAATTTATTTCATTATTTTTTCTCTAACTTAATTTTCCCCCAAAAAAAAATCTTTAGTTGCGGAACGTGATTGTAAAAAATTTTAAAATTTGTTTAATTGATAACGATTAGCTATATTAATGCGTTTTGTTGTTATTTCCGTTATTATATTCGTTTTTTATTTTATTTTTCCTTTTCCTTTGATCTTTTTCATTTAGAATAATCAATTTTCTTTCCTTATCCATTTCCTTGAACAGGACTAAACGCGATATATTGAAATGTATTGCTAGATATTGGTGATATTTGTGAAGGTACAAATGCAAAAGTAAGCAGGAAAAATTTTTTTCTTCTATGATTCACTTTCTTACATTATAAATTTTAAGAGTATTATGGCTAAGCGCTGTATAAATTTTGCATTTGCATAATTCAATTAATCCCTAATCTAAAAATAAAATCAAAAAACAAAAAAATTATAGAGAACGATGGCTGAAATGAAGTAACAACTGCCAATGCTAATGACTGAGTGAATATTGCAAATGAATCAATATATATAAAATTTTTTAGTTAAAAATATTTAAAGTGGTGAATTAGTTGAGAGTTTTCTGAGTACTGAGAAAAGTTGTGAATCTTTCTTAAAATTTCTTAAAGTTTTATTTTTTTAAATGATTTTTTGTTTTTTGAAATTTTTTAAAATAATTTATTCAAAATAAATTTTTAGTTCTTCGAAATGCAATAGGAGTGATTTATGAAAGGAATATTTATAAGAAATAAATATTTCATTTTTCATAATTCCAAAATTAATTATATTAAATTTTCCACATTTTTTATGCTGAATTCGGAGGATACGGATTTGGATTATTGTTCATTGAAAAGTCATCGCATCAAAAGTGAAATACAGTTCTATAAGATTTTTTCCGCAAGTCGTATCAGTTGAATCTTTTGATAAGAAATTCGCTGATTGATTAGTTGAAATTCTAAAAGATCGATTTTTTTGCATCAAAAAGTTGAATTTATTGAATTTAGAAATTTTTTTAGTTACATAAAAATTGTTAAAAAAACGCATTAATTGATAAAAAATTGATAGATTTACCGAATCATTTTTTTAATATTATTTATTCGAATAAAAAAAATTGTATAAAATTATATATAAATCAAATCATATCGATTTAAATTTCAAGAAACTCCGTATCATAAACCCCATTGCAAGTTAAGTACCATCGCTTTATGAGAAGAATCGCACAAATAAATTGATAAATTTAAGCGATGAGTTTTTTACTTTGTATCGCATTAATAAATAACATTGCATCACTGCTTATCAATGCTATGGATTCGTATGATTATCAATATCGTCTTCCAAAACAATTAAATCCTGTAAAATATGATTTAAATCTAACACTTTCGTCCACTAATCCTATAATTTATGGAACGGTAAACTTTTTCGAATTTTTTTCTTTTTCACCATTACTGGTTGAACTCGTTCCTCTGGCTTGTCGCACTCGACAAATTGCCAGCGAGTTCCCTGGCGATAGAAATACGGGTAAGTCGCCAGTATAGCCACGATTTTTGGCCGTAAAATACGAGCTTAATATCGGCGTTTCGAATCGAGTAACAAGCCACTTCTACTTTCCTTTCTCATTTATAGGCGATACTGTCTTTGAATAGTTTATGACTCCTAGCAGACCTGTTTCAAGCCCAATTTTTCAATTTTTCGCTAAAATCATCTAAAAAATAATAAGTATTGCCTTAATTTTAGACGACGATCGAAGTATTATGCATTGACGATAAAGCGACAGCGATCACTCTTCATTCGAATTCTCTATTTATAAAAATTCACGTAATTTGTAATTTTCGTCTATTCAACAATTTATAAATTATAATATTTAAATATTTAGTATTTAATAAATTACCTAATGAACATTTAACTTAATGAAAATTCAGTTTTCAATAAGGTAAAAAATTGAGCAAATCAAATCAAACACAAATTTACAAGAATTTTGTAATATTTATAATTTTAATAAATTTTTAGCATGCAACAATCGAGGATCGATTAAATAGCTTAAAATTTCATTTGGTTAATCCTCTTATCAATTGGAAGCATCAAACTATCACTTATTTATCACCAATATCACTAATGAAAGGAAGCGTTTATTATTTGAATTTGTGGTTTAACACAACATATACCAGTAATAAAGGAGGATTTATTAGATTTAACGATGAGGTGAATTGTTGCTTTCCTGTTTTCTAAAAAATAATCAGTGCTTTTTTTAATAGGTCGAATAGATCGGAATAAAGTTTGCCTTGTTTTATCGTCTTAAAATTTCCTATTCCTCAATTACTCTAATGAAATTTAGCATTGTTTGCAAAATAGTCTAATTTCAATGCTAATTTTTAAGAGTTAATATATTTGAATATGTTTTAAGAAATGGTCAAATTATTTTCCAAGTTTTTTTTCCTATTACAAATTTATTATTCGACAATTTATAACAAATAGCAATGAATAAAAGAAAAGTATAAAAAATGAATTTATTAATGCTAAGAAATCTTGTGAGATTGCCAGAAGTTCGAGTGTAATCCCATAATTTCTCCTTATCTTCATGCTTTATCAGTATTATCAGCATTATCATAACGAAATAATCAACAGAATATCCAATTTTTTTAAAATTAGCATTATATTAGAATTTCAGAATGTTGATTTGCTATCGAGATTGAATGGAAAGTAAAATTGATTATTTTAGGAAAATTATAGTTCAATTTTTGTAGTTGTTGTTGTATGAAAGAATAGAAACAGGAATGTGGCGTTTGGCTAACGACTTTATTTGAACCGATATATGCTCGAAGACTTTTTCCATGCTTCGATGAACCGTACTGGCGAAGTGCCTTCTCTTTGGAACTTTGGCTTGAAGCCGATTTTGCATCGGATAGGTGCTGTTTTACTAGTTCGATTAACTTTTGTGATATTTTCTACATTTTTCGAAAAATTCGCCTTTGAAGGAATATTTTCAGCAACATTTTCCGTAAATATTTAAATTTTATTTCACCATTTCATTTCTTAGCTTATTCTGACTTTTTAACTTCATCAATAAATTAGGCAGCCTTACTAAGAAATTACCCCATAAATCATTATTTCTTGTGAATTTATACATTTCATATAGAATTTGCAGTTTGGATAGTCCCACTGATTTATAGTTTAAGCCAGAGAGCTACTTTTGGTGATTGAATATTTTCTCTCAGAAATAATCAAGGAAAAAAATATCGTGGAATTATTATATTCACCTAAATTATATTGTATTTTAAAGACAAAAAAATTTTTTTACAGTTATGTTGCCTTATCAAATACAAATGGCGTTAAAAAACGCTGGAATGAACGTTTAACGATATGGAAATTCGAAAGGACTCAACCAATTCCGACTTATTTATTTGCGATTAGTGTCGGCCAATTCTCGTATGATTTAAATCATTTGATTATTTCTAATTATTGCCTTGGATTTTTCAGATCAATTGGAAGAGAATAACTGCGCTTTTCTCTAAAAAATTTGAACAGATTTACAAGTGGATCAGCAGATTTATATTGGATCATAGCGATGAATTCTCTTTAATTTGCCAGCCTTAACTTACTAGGAGGATAGGATGGTTCAGTGGTTTGTTGCTCAATTGGGAAAGCCAATACTGAGGTTCTATTCCCAGCAGGAGTAAACCTGTTCAAAAATCCGAGTGATGCTGGCGATTCAGCTGTATTTCTATCGCCAAGGGACTCTCTAGCATATTTGTCCAGTGCGACAAGCCAGTGGAGCGAGTTTAACCAGTAATGGTGAGGACTCCTAAAAAAAATTATTAGTATTATTGATTTACTTTTAGATTAATTTTAGATCCGTGTGTTTGCCGACAAATATAACTAAATCGGAGATTTGCATTTGGCGATATTCCGTATTGGAAAATTGGCAAAATTTCGCTTTAAAAATTATCGATTTAATTTATAGTTTTCAGATAAGTAATAACACTAGTTTTTGAAAAGTAGCAGATTCAGATAGGCTAAATAAGTAACTTGGCTATTCCTAGATATTTGTGGCATCGGTAAATGTTAGAATGGCTTAGTGGGTTGTTGCTCAATTGGGAAAGCCAGTACTGAGGTTCTATCCCCCACGGAAGTAAACCTGTCCAAAAATCAGGATGATGCTCGACTGGCGACTCACCTGTATTTCTATCGCCAAGGGACTCCCTGGCATATTTGTCCAGTGCGATAAGCCAGCGGAGCGAGTTTAATCAGTAATGAGGACTCTTAAAAAAAATTATATCGGTAAGTGATTGGAATGGATGGATTATTTCAAATGATTACCGTAATCGAGAACATTAAGTGATGTATGCAACGGAGTTCAGCTTCATCCACCGCTCGTTTGCTTTGTTGGCAATTAATAGGGTAAAACTTCCATGTTGAAAATAATTAGAGATGGAAGTAGAGATTAACAATGCTCCAACGATACTCGAATTTCATTTTTCGATTTAATGATTACATTCAATCAAAAGACAGGAATCGAACCTATTGCTCGTAACCTCGACCTAAGTGGTACTTTTAGTGGCGAATTTATCGACTAAGTCTCGCCATCGTCAAATTTAAACCATAAATTCTTTGATTAGAAACCATAGATGAATAGGATTTTGGTGCTTAAAGGATTTGAAAAGGTTTGTTGTATTGTTTAAAATTCATTAGGAAATCCTCTTCGCTTGCGTGAAGAAAATTTCAACTTTTTTCCGACGTCGCGAAGATTTATTTTTTTCTTAGCCAATGGAATATTTGAAATATTTTATGTTCAGAACAAATCTCTTGAATAGCAAATTTTTAAAAACTGCTAGTAATTACAAGCGTTTATTGAAAATGAAAAAAATTAAAGGTTCCTCAACCCATCGGGTACCACAGTTCTTTTAGGTGGAATTAAAATTGATAGATTAATTATTAAACAATTGAGTCATTTCTTTTTGTAACCGCGTGGATACTTTAGACGTCTAATAGACGCAAATCTATCTTGAAATAAAATCCGAATAAAGTTGGAGATTGACTCGTTCTTCTGCCCTGAAGGAATCTGAGGTGAAAATGACTCATCTTAGAAGTCGCCTTAGGCAATCACCTTAGCAAACCAGCATTAATAGGTGCTGAAAGAAAGGAGAAAAATTTAAGATTGCATTTGGCATATATATTTAAAATTAAATTTTTATATTGTTATATGAAAAAATCATTTCTAGCTGATGAATTTAAAGCCAATGATTCCATTTAAATATTTATTTATATATATATATTTTTATAATTTTTTTTTAAAAATCCATGCTCGATTACCTATTGGTGGATACGGGATCTCGTTTACATCTTCTCTTTATATCCATCGATATTAATGGCATGGAAAATTTCGGTCTTATTAGTATCAGAGATTCGGTATGTAATTTAATGTTAAGCGGAATAGCTCAGTGGGTTATTGGTTTAGCTGGCTGCTCACCTGTATTTCTATTGCTAAGGGACTCCCTGGCATATTTATCCAGTGCGACAAGCCAGCAAGCCAGTCTAACCAGTAATAGGCTCTTAAAAAATATCATTCTTATCGATAGCCACCACTTGATTTAGACTTAAAAGTAACCTTTACCAGTAACCTTTGCAAATGCATGACGCAATTTTCATATAAGAATTCGATTAAAATAGCCTTATTTGATGCCTCAAGAAGGTTTTCATACTCTAAGAGGAAAGCAATAATCATAGCTGAAATAGATACTGTTAAAAACCATGATTTAATGAACATACCATTCTAATGGTACCATTTCAAAAGCGAAGTACCATTTTTTATAAGCGAATGAATAAAAACTAAAATTTTGATTTATAATTAAATATTAAATATAAGTAAAATATAATCAAATATATAAATAAATATTTCAAAATTTTTATATTAGCTATGGCCTACGAATGGAACTGATTCGACCGATTCAAATTGGACTCAGTTCATTGCGACATTATTTCATGAGATGGTTCATCAGTGGTCAGTTATCATTTTATCATTTTTAAAATTATTTAAATCTATAAATGAAGATTAATCGTCTGGATTTCTTCCCATTCTAATGAGTACCACTGATTAAAAAATTTTTACTTTATCTAATTACTTAGATTTTTTTTTTGAACATCAATTTTATTTTTAGGTTTGGCAATCTCGTCACAGTGGTGAGTAACTATCACATTGAAAGTATTCGACTTTCAGCTGAAATTACTTTCAGGAATGGTGGAGTGATATTTGGCTTTCCGAAGCTATCACATCTTTCATTTCTACGCTAACAATACCAGTGTAATATTTTAACACATTTTCGATTTTTATTTAAAAATTCCAGAAAAAAATTCGACAGTCATTCTTAGTATTTCGATTCATATTTGAGGATAAATAGGTGTATTTGGATCATTCATGGTTAAAGAGACATATTTTATTATATTACCATCCTTTATTACTATATTTATCACTATATAAATGATATTTAAGTGGTTGTTAACAAGTCTACTCGCACTTCTACCATTCCCTAAAAAAAAAGACCATCCTAGTAGTCTTCAGACCCTAAAGATTGAACCCTAAAGATTGTGCTTATTAGTGCGGGAAGATGTTCAGATAAAAATTATGTAATAAAATTATTTATGTTAAATTATCTAATTATTTATTAATTTTTTGAAATTATTTTTTTAAATTATTTATTATTTCAATTATTTATAAATTTACTTTATTTATTATTTATTTATTTTTGATTGTTTTTAATGTGAAATTCTCGAAATAAACTGATAAGCGATAAAACATTCGAGAATTGAATAAAAAGAAATGATTATTAAATGATAAAGAATTTTGGATTTAAATTATTTTCCAACAATTATATTATTTTATATTTTATTTAATCGAATTCCCTTATTCACAATTAATTTTCCTTATTAGATTCGACGTTGCTGGCGATTCTTCCACAATGTCATTAATTAATGGAAATTGGTCATTTGGTATAATTCCATTGTTAATTTATAAGAAAGGAGCAATCATCGTAAATATGTTGAACGATGTTATTGGAAAATTTAAAATGCGTAATGTTTTTCGCATATATCTTCAAGAAAATCAATGGAAATCTGCAAATACAACAAATTTTTTACGAATTTTGGATAAAACTGTTCCGGTTAGCATTAGAAATAATTAATTATAAAAATAGCTTTATTTCGCAAAAATGAATTTTTATTCGATTTTCAGCATGAGGCATTTCCATATTCGAAATTTCTCTCGACGTGGCTGTATCAAGGAAGTCATCCAATCGTTTTTATAGATTTCGATACAAATACAAATGAATTTTGTCTAAGTCAACTTCCAAAACGTGGTGAAGTGAATTCTCGCTGGTTTATTCCAATATGGGTAATAAATAATTCAAATAAAAATTCCCTAATATGAAAATCAGTTGTAAGTGGTGAATGGCTCAGTGAGACAAATAACTAACTCTCTGGTACCTTGTACGACAAATCAGTGGAGTGAGACTAATCAGTAATGGTGAGGGCTCTCAAAAAAAAGAACATCGAGTTAGCCATGGCATTCAGTCATTAAACAATTTTCGATACAAAATATACATAGTCGAATAATATGCTGTGTGGTTCGAGACCACGGAAAATCAAGGATTTGACTTTAGTCTCTTAAAAGAAGTTATAAAAATGAAATCGGAATGCCCACTAAAAGATGCACCATCATTCTTAACCAAACCAAAAACCAAAAATAATTTTAAATGGTACTGATAAAACAAAATATCAAATTGTGATACAATCTTCCCCAGTTTTGCGTTTTAAGTATTTTCGACTCACCATTTATAGTAAAAAAACAAAGTTTTCCTTTGAATTTCAGGTTGAATGCCTACTTGGAACTGTAAACGAAACATTATTTTGGATATATCCCAACGAACATCTATTTATTAAGCTAAGACGGGTCAGTTCCAATCTCTTTATAGAATTTTAGCCCAACACATTTTCAGAGTACCAGTATTCTCCTAAAAAAAAATACATGAATTTTATCATATAATACATTTTCAAATTGCAGGTAACAAAACACAATACAACTGATGTAGTCGCATTCAATCGTAATAAATCAGTTTATTATCAAATATTACCGAGATACTAAAAACTGCGATAATCTTATCGACAATTCTTGCTCCATTTTTCTCATTTATCATTTCTAATTTCATATTGTCGTTAAAATAATTTGAAATAAAGCTATTGGCACATGAAAATAATAATGCTTGTAAAATAAAAAAAAACAACTATTATACATTGAAAGATGATTTCTTCATTCAAATAAAAATTAAGAATTTACTTTTAATCGATAAAAAGGAGTGAAAATAATCCCATAACCAATCAAAACAGTTAAAAAGTAAAAAAAAATGTTTAAAAGTATTTCTTTCTTAAACAAATAATTCGAATGACAAACGAATTTCTTTGCCAATCAAAATTGTTTTTACTAAATTTCTACAAATTTTTCGATGAGTATAACGGGTGGTAAAATATTGTAAAAAAAAAAAAAAAATTTATCAGGGATATGTAGGCGAACGAGAGTTTTCTTCTTGAATTAAATTACGAGCCATTGACATCATCAGTAATTCATCGACATGTGAATACGTTGAAGCACGACCATGAGTATGCTTAAGGAATTCGTGTTTTCTTAGTGCTGAGCTAAAATGGACAAAATAAAATGTTTTCGAAGCAACAAAGGGATTAAAAGTAAAAAAAATCCGGAAAAAATTCAGGATCAAAGACAACGCTTAAGACCATTATTTTAATATATTTTTTAATGTACTACTTACTGAAGAAATTTCAAGAAAAAATTTTAGGGAAAAAATGAATTAATGAACAAAATGTAAATGAAGAAATACATGAAACCAATATTAAATATTACCTATCTCGAAAATCTTTGGAGCAAATCGCACATGTATAAGGCCGTTCTCCAGTATGCATTCTGATATGAATTGTCAAGGCCTGTGATTGAGTAAAGCTTTTGCCACAGTATCCACAAGTATATGGCTTTTCACCAGTGTGGGTTCGTTCATGAATGTTCTAAACGTTTTAATCCAGAAAAATTCATTAAACGAATTGTTGAATTTGGCAAAATTCGCTTTAACTTGATAAATCGATATGTATTAAAAAGTATTTGTGGCTCAGAATCGCAATTCTTCAGGAAATCAGTCTCATTACAACAGCTTTTACAGAAATATCATCACTGCCACAAATATGCGTACATTTACAATAATCGATAACCGAATGGGAGTTGAACCATTAATATATTTATCAAATCAGAAATATCCTTCAACAACCTATTATTAGGAACAAGATCATTGGTAAAAAAAGAACTCTCCGACGAGAATTAAAATTTTCAAACTTTCTAATGAAGGTTGAATTTAAACACATTTAGATCACATTTAGATTTAAACACATTTAGATTTACTTTATCTCTTCTATGATGAAACATTTTTTCGCAATATGAACATTGGTATCGCAATGGCCGATTAGTCTGGACAGTAATTCCATGCATCTGAGCCAAGCACTGCTGCTAAAAATTAGTGGCATATTAAAATTTTTCGCACTAATAATACAATAAATTAAGGGAAAAAATAGCCCTTATGTATCTAACAAAAACTGTATATAAAGAAAACATTACCTGATGTTCAAGCATTTCGTCTTCTGTTTTAAACCACTTTCCACAAACAGAGCAGAAATGCCGACGACCACTGGCATGCAACTTCATATGAATATTAAAATTCGTCTGTCTAGCGAAACATTTTGTACAGATAGGACATTGAAACGGCTTTTCACCTAAAATATTATATTAGTTTAAAGAATTTTTTTTAAATAACCCACTGAGTTATTCTAATCTTTGAAACAGTGATTTCTAATAAAAATAACGACTTTGACAACGACTAATTCGAAATGTATTTGCCATTTACAATATTTCCTTCATCTTCTCCCTATTAACAATAATATAAAATAATAATAGTGGCAACAGTATCATAAATATTTCATCACTCTTCTATTCTAATTTCGTGATCCCTGTAAAATTTATTTGTCACTTCTTTTGACGGGAATAAACTTGTTCAAAAAACTAAAACTCTACGCGGCTACTGGGAATCATATGTATATTCTATCTCCAAATGACTCAATGATGAAAAAATCTGGTTATACTGATATGGCGTCGGCATCATCTGACTCACATTACTAACCCAGTACATTGTAAATATACGAACCGAGACAGGTAAAATGATTCCAGGACTTGAAAATAGAATAAGCTCTCGAATTAGAACAAATATTTGTAAGGGAAATTAAAAACTATAGAAATTATGCACAAGCGGCAAGGTCCAAATAAGATGTGAACATCTGCTTATCCATCTTATCCATCTTCATCATTCCGAGCCTCGTGCAATTATTATATCTAGAAGAGGCGGTAGCTAATATTATGGGACATACGAGAGCGATTAGCTCTGAACCATTTCACTATAGCAATAATAATGATAAATAACCACAGCCTGGTGCATTAAGGTGAGGACTTGTCTTACGACTAATAAGCAAAATTCAAAATTTCGACCGACCAAAATATTATCAATCCATATAAAACATCCAGCCGATTGGATGAAATATCTGGCAAAGGTTTTCCTAAGAGAATGATTGCATTGATCAGTGCTACTAAAAGCCAGGTTATGCGAATTATACGCGATTTATTAAAAATAAAAAAATATATAAAAATATAATATATAATATAATTATATAATATAATTATTATTATTAATATTATTATTATATCATTATTATATTTAATAATATAAAAAGAAATGATGAAAATAAAAATAAGTGGTAATAATGATAATAATGGTAAAATAATAGTGCTAATAGGCTATAATATTCAATTATGTGATGTATTGGATGTGGACATGGATATGGACATGGACATTTGGAACATAGAAATGGATACTTGTCGGCATTCAAATGATATTCAAATCAATAAAAAGCATAAATAGCATTATAGACTTTGAATACGCCAACAACTTGGTCCGTTTTGCTGAAAGAAATGCAAAAAATAAGGTGTCAAATTCGGCGAGAATGTGAATAAAATAAAAGAGTTTTCGTCTTATATACAAACTGATGAGATATTTTCATTACCCCTGGTTGGGAAAGTGCAAGACTTTAAATATCTTCCATCCATCCTGATCCCAAACGGGCGAGCGAAAGGCGAGATTATAACGAAATTATAACCCGGATAAGAGTGATAAGAGTAGCTAGAAATATTTTTTCCGCTTGATAAAACCCTTGTAGACTCGTTGCGAAATAATTGTAAAACGAATGCCCGCGTCTCTGTAGTTGTAGTTGCAGTTGTGATCGCAGTTCGTTCGGTCTTGCTATATGACCATGAGAATGAAGAATATTATCTACCTTTGATCACCCATGATATATCTAAGATATATATTTTATAGATTCGTCGAGCGGATAAAGCCTTACATAACTGTATCTACCGTCGCTCAGTACCACTTGAATACCATCACTATCAGAGCGTCGCCTTCGCTGTTTGGGGTATTTTCTCCGTGGTTCACCACAGAAGTTGACAAATTTCATTACTTGTTTTCTATGATAGATAGCGCCAAAAGCGAGGAGGGCCGATCAAGACCAGGACTGACGTAATCAGAAAAACGATGGACCAGCAATATAAGGACTTCGACAATAGAAAAAATGGTTTCTATTTTTGACTATGAAATAGAGAAATCTTTATAACCAGTCTAATCAGTAAAGAACAGAAGAAGTAATGCCAACAGAAAAACTGAAAGAAGTGTGCAACTAACTAATAAAATTAGTCCAACTGAATCACTCTCAGTATTGCCACAAATTAGAAAATTTAAATAATCCAACAATATCTATTGCATACCTGTATGTATCCGTTCATGTATCCTTAAAGATTGCTTGTGGGCGAATGAGCGATCACAGAAAGAACATGCAAACGACTTTGCCGCCGTATGTACACTTTGATGGTTTCTTAAAGCCATATTGCTCGTAAATACGCGCCCACAAATGAAGCACTTACAAGCCAATCCTGTACGTGGTTTCATTTCCTTCTCTCCCACCTTTAATCTCTCGTCTAAAATAAGGATTTCAAAGATAAGATCAATTAACAAAAGATCGATTCCTTAATTCATTTGGTTCATTGGATAAGAAATCTATTTTAATTATGATATTAGTAATTTAATTCTAACCATCCTTACGGCGATCTTCTGCTGACTTACGATCAATTACTTTGAAGGTCATTTTTCGCTTCCCGATAAGTACGGAGAATCGCTGAAGAGGATTCTTTCCTAGCCATTTGCATTGTTCTCTTGATGTAGATGGCATCTGAAAAATGGTGAAAAATATTTGTGAAAGAGTCTGAATATTTTCTACATAATCTTACTGTTAATTTGAATTATTCTATATTAATAATATATGATATTAACAAACATGGCAACAATTTTAATCTAAACAATAAATCTGAACTGAAGAACATCAAAAAAGATGAAGTTCATTTGCGGCAAAAAAAAGATTTAAAAATAAATTTACAGAATCACTGCAGCAAGGTTCATTTTCTTCATGAACCAAAATTGGGCATGAAACATCCAATGATTCGTCAAAATGAGAGATCTGAATAAAGAAGGATCAAATAAAATAAGATTGATTCTTACCCTTCTCATTCATAATTATTATGATTGTTTTTTTATTTATTTTTACATATGTCCCGCAAAATGAGCATGTGCTTTTTTTTTTTTTTACAGCACTCACCATTATTGGTTTAGACTCGCTTCAGAATAAACAAATATGCCAGGGGGTTCCTTGGCAATATAAGTGCAGATGAATCGCTGGCACCACCCGATCACATGTTTAAATTGGAAGTAATAAAAAAAATGAAAAATTACAATAAAACACAATAATATGTGAAAATTTTGAATTAGTTTATATTAATAACATATAAATTATAAAAATTTTTCTTGAGAATGTACTTAACCTACTAAAAAGTAGTATGAATACAATGGAATGACTTAAATAGATTTTATCTTCACTACGGTTATCCCAGAATTTCTTAATTGATAATTTTTTCGTGAATTAGCATTAGTATTATCTATAAATGAAAAATACCGATGGCTGAGATTCAAAAAAATTTCCTGGTGGTTCAACATGATTTGATTCACCTTCATATGTTAACATGGGTGCTTCATCTAAAAATTTTATCATTATCGAAATATTGAATGGTGCATTCAAAAATTTAAATTTTAAATTAAAATTGCTGAAAAGAATCTAAAACTGAATCTAACAAAATGAACGGTTGAATTCTATTGCAACATATCCCTATCCTTAAACCATTGCTCTAAGCTAAGATTTACTGAAGAAGCAATTTTATGCAAAAAATGGCTTTATAATCCGAAAAGTATTTTATTAAAACTTCAGTGAAGGAAAATTTATAATATCTATAGTCTTATGGCTTGAATCTATGATCGAAACAACATAACAAATCAGACTGAATAACTTATCGACTTTAATTATAAAAAGGAAAATATTACACATTTTTTCGAAAATGTTGACACTGATAAAATGAAAAGATTCACCTAATCTAAACGATTGTCGAGAAGCAAAATTGTATGAGTCCGAATCCATTACTTTTATTGAGCCATTATTGAGTTCATCATCAAAACTTTTCATCTGATCAAGTTGCAACGATTTATTAATTTCATTTTCTTCACTTCTTATATGATTAGCAATTTTCGATAAATTATTATGATTAAATGAAACGAGTGATGTGTTATCACGTTGTTCAAACGAATTGACAAATTCACTATGAGCTGTGTTCGTATATACATCGGTTATTTCGTCGAAACCACACCGTTTCTCACCTCTATTACTTGAATTCTGAAAATTTTTTATTTTATTATCATTATTCAAATTTCAACCTAATTTTGGTAAATTAACACCTCAAATGCAGAATTTTGTCAAGTATAGTCCAATGATCAAATCCTTTTTCAAATCTCCTAGACGTCCAATTACAGTACTCTTAAACGTGATCTAAATAGTGATACAAAGCTCAACTTCAAGCTCAACTGATACCAAACAGCATACTTTCGATTGTTCGCTTTTTCAATAAATAAAACTGCGCTTAAAATAAATTTTAGCTAACTTTTTGAAACAGCTCCATCAGTAACAGAACCAAACCCAAAGTAGTGAGTCCTAATGTAAAAGGATCTTATATATTAAATTTTCGCAGAAACTCAGAACTACTCAGGGTTGAATTGCTAAGAATTATTGATTATCTATTACAGCTGCAACCATTCAAATGAATTCTTGGAATTATAAATGAATGTAAAGCAATAAAAAAAAAAAACAAGCCTGATCAGCATATCCGGTTCGTTGGCACTTTCCAAACAGCTGATTTTTCGATGATTGTAAATTGGACGATTGAAGCGAAATTGAAAAATGATGTTCGCCAGTATTTGTATTCGTTTCATTCGTCGGTAATAAATTAATTAAAGCATTCTCATTTTCATATATAATCAATTCGTCTTCGTCCATTTGTTTATACTAAAAATGCAAAAATTACGGTTATTATGTAATTATATAAAAATAACATGGAAGAATTTTGATTTCTTCTAAATTCATTTATATACCACAGGGTTCGCCCCGGGGCAATTTGAAAATGATAATGTGGTTCTAATTGTTACTTTCAATTCGAATTTTATGAAACTGATAGTTTATCAGAAATATATTTATTTCTGATATCGTTAGAATATTAATTTAAAACTAACGAAATTAGAGGAGCTTTCATCAAATATCTTTCCCAACAAGAAGAAAATGTGCATTAAAGAGGAAATTCATTAAATTAACGCTTTTCCTTATAAGAATTCAATAAAAATAATTTAATTATTGAAAAATTATAATTGAAAAACAAAAATTAAACAAACAATAAAATTAATAAAAACGTAAAAATTATGCGTAAAAAAATCGATAAAAAATTAAAAATTTTCTCATATAAAAAACGAGAAACAAAATGAATTTTTATAAAATTAGATAAATTTTTTGTAATAATTAAACCAAAGCCAAAACCTTAAATGTTAGCTGCGACGAATCTATTGGCTAAATTACGATGAAATGCGCTTTTCGCCAAAATAAACGTCGAATATTTATCGTTTTCATCAAATTAATACGTCTAAAAATTTATTTACGCAAAAAAATACACGTAAATAGAATAAAAATAATAAATTATAAATAAAAATTATAATAAAATTATATTAAAAAATCGATAATTTCCTAAAAGAAAATTTTGATTAATTTTAATGAATTGAATTTTAAAAAATAATTTAAAGCAATAAAAAAATTAGATTTAAAAAAAAGCAAAAAATAAATTTTTTAAAAAATTTGGTGAAAGAATTTTTTGCCGAAAATTTCTTTTTTTTATGAAAAAAATTTTAAAATTTCTCTCAAGTCAAAATTCAAATTGAAAAAAATTATAAATTTCTACCAAATTTATAAAAAATAAGCATAAAATATTAAAAGAAGAGAATGACAAAACAACAAATTTCCACGAATGAAGCGAATCACTGTTCCATTAAATTTCGAAATTTAGTGCTATTAAGATTTGTTCTTTTGGTCTTGAAACGAAAGTCCAAGTTCATGTTCAAATTCATGGCAACGAAATTAAGGAAGAGAGGTTGTGATAAGATTTACTTGGGTTGGTTTGCGTGTGGCTATTTTAGGTAGAGTGGGGTACCAGTCGCTTAGCGGTCACCAGAAATTCTCGAATCGTAGAGGTTCCACAGATTTTTTGGACCTCGAATTTATTGATCGATTCGGTTCATTCAGATTCGAAAAATTTCTTTAGCATACCTTTGTATTGTTCTGATTCTATATTTTTCATAATATTAACTTTTTTGTGTTCATTTATAATTTTTTCGAAACATTTTGTATTATACAAATATTAATTCCCTTTCTTTAATAATACTCGTACCGTTCTCAGCTTGGTTGGTTCCACTGATCGTTAAGTGCACTCTCGATGATTGCCTCCAGGCTTCCTTTTCTTCTTTATACTCATATTTTAATTTATTTCTGTAAATTTCGTTAGAAACTAATAGAAACTTTATTTGGACATGTTTTGAGCCAAATGTCTTTTGCAAATTTATTTCTTGTTCTATATTTTCTCAGAATTTTCAGTTTTTGCTGAAATTTTAACGAGTAAAATAAGTGCGAATAATCCAACGATGGCAGTTGATAATATGGTGCAACCAAATAAAGAAAAAATGAAAATATTCAAGGTATTCAATATTTCTTTATCTTAGTAGAAATTGGTATTAGTTTTAAACTTTTTCGTTTCTTTAAGTCTAAGGCCAAATATAAATCTTAATATTAGGCTAAGGTACCAAACATTGCATTCATAAGGTTCATAAGGCTAAGAAGGCTTGGCTTCTCTTATGTGCCAAATGAATGCGAGGAAATTTTATTTTCTTAGTCATTTCAGCAAATTATGTAAATTTTGTTGGGCTTATCTTAAATATTTTTGATAATTTTTATATTTGTATTTATGGGAATTTATATCCGTGAAGTAAAATTAGCTTTAGCCTCAAATCGCCATCACAATGAATATTGGATTTTTTCTTTTTGTTGCTACTTCATATTTTAGAGAAACATTTCTGAAAAATTTTTAGGATAAAGATAAACCGGACAGCGTAAGGAGCAGCAATATTACTGCAGCAAAAGCAGTTGCCGATGCGATTAGAACTAGCTTAGGTCCAAAAGGTTATCGTTCATTTTTTGAATAACATCTGTTAATAAAGTTTATTAATTCTTTCATTTCACGTTTATTTATGTTTTTTTAAGGAATGGATAAGATGATTGAAACTGGCCGAGGTGATGTATCAATTACGAATGATGGTGCTACAATTCTTAAGCAGATGAGTGTTATCCACCCAGCTGCAAAAATGGTATGAATTAATTTTAAAAGCTGAGCTACATTTTATAACTGTTATTTGGATGAATCTTTGAAGAAATCTATTTCTAATGAATTATTTTTTTCAGCTTGTTGAATTATCGAAAGCACAAGATGTTGAAGCTGGTGATGGTACGACGACAGTCGTCATTATCGCTGGTGCACTCTTAGATGTTAGTGAAAAACTGCTTAATAAAGGTTTTTATTCTTGAAATTTTGAAAATTTTCGGCGTGAAGAAGTCAAATATTTTAATTAAAGATATTCAGGTATTCATCCAACAGTTATCTCAGAATCTTTCCAAAGAGCTGCTTTAGAGAGTGAACGAATTCTTGAAGCAATGGCAACTCCAGTTGATTTGAACGATAATGATCAATTGGTTAAAATTGCTACAACTAGTTTGAATTCAAAGGTATAAAAAATATTTTTATTTTGCAATTTATTTGCCTTAAAATATGTTTCATTTCACTCATTTAGCAAAAAATTTGGTGAGCGCTATTTTTTTAATCTTTATTTTTTTTAAACTTAAAATTTATTTTAAATTTATGATTAAGGTTGTGTCGCAATATTCTTGGCTTCTTGCACCAATGGCCGTAAAAGCTGTGAAAATGGTTAGCACTATAAAACATTTCAATTCTTATCCAATATTTTTATTTTTTTTTATCACTGTTGTTGTCTTATATGAAAATTCCTCTTTTCTAATGAATAATTAATTTTCATTGTTTTAATGATTTTTATGATATTGATTTTTTTAGAACTTTTCCTTTGTTCTTAACAGTAAATAGATTTTAAATTTTGCAAATTTTTTTTTTTAGTATTTTTCTATGAATCAAATTTCCATTTACTGGCATTTGCTCTTGACAATGTTATTTTTTCTAGTTTTCAGGTGAGTTCTCAAGATGATTCGAATGTCGATGTGAAATTAATAAAAATCGTTAAAAAAATTGGCGAAACTGTTGAAGAATCGAAGCTAATAGAGGGTGCTTTGATTGATCAAAAATCTATGGGTCATGGTGGTCCAGTTCGAATTGAGAAAGCAAAAATTGGTCTTATTCAGTTTCAGATCAGCCCTCCTAAAACTGACGTAAATGTTTATTTGGTTTTCATCCAGCTAATTGTATATAAAAATTGAAATCCTGGCTAACTTGAAGAAAAACTTGAAGAAATAAGGATGGTTATGTACCAATGATAAAAAACAATTAGTATGAACCAAAACTGAAAGCAGTTGCAAAAAGCATTTTTGTAACGATTACTCAAAGATTACTTACTCAATGTGTTTGTGGCCTATGAAGGGGTATGGATAAGAGAGAAAAATAATGGAATTCTTGATCATAAAGTCGCAAGTTTTTTATCTTGATCAGTGGGTCCTAAATTGAGATCCTCGAAGTCAAATCATTTTCATATTATTATAATAATGTAGTAATATTTAGTAATAATATACTAATATTCGCATTTCTTTCGGAGAATTCCTTAATTTTAATATCTAACTAATATGCTTAGTATCGAGATTTGTGACACATATTAACCAAAGATCTTCATAGGAGTCCTCAGAGTTTTCACGTCCAAGAATTAAGAACCATAAGGTCAAGCTCTATGCTTTAATGGTTCAGACTATTGGTTGTGCTGGTGGTTAACTGGAAGTAAACTGATTAGTACATTAGTGCAAACTGTAGAAATCTCAACTGTAGAAATTTTAGATGGAAAATCAAGTGATTCTTTCCGATTACACTCAAATGGACCGAGCACTTAAGGAGGAAAGAACATATATTTTGGATTTGTGTAAGCAGATCAAAAACGCAGGCTGCAATGTGTTGTTAATTCAGAAAAGCATTTTGAGGTTTCTGCTTTTGCTTATAATTTACTTTAGTTATTAAGGTTTTTAAACCTAACTTTATTATTTTCTTTTGTTTAATTTTTTGTTTTTTAGGGATGCTATCAATGATATGGCCTTGCATTTTTTTGCCAAAATGAAAATTATGGTAATCAAAGATATCGAAAGAAGTGATATCGATTTCTATTCTCGAATATTAGGCTGCAGACCTGTTGCTTCTGTAGATCATTTCGTTTCTGAAGCTTTAGGCAGTGCTGAACTGGTAGAAGAAATCCGCACATCGGGTGATGATAAAGTAATTCAGGTAAAGAATTTTGAATTGATAGAGTTATACAGTCATCTTAGATGAGTGAAGCCTGGAAGTCCGCTGATTTTCAGAATCTATTATTTTCTATAATCAAATTATTTTAGGTGACAGGACTACAAAATAGTGGTCAGGCTGCTTCTATACTCCTTAGGGGCTCAAATAAAATGGTCCTTGAAGAAGCTGAACGATCATTGCATGATGCTCTTTGTGTCATTCGATGCCTTGTTAAAAAGCGTGCAATTCTTCCTGGTTAATGATTTCTCAGAAAATTCATCGCTTGCTATGGTTTTTTTCTTTATAAACCTATCAATCCAATCTGTTTTATCCAATTTATTTATTATTCAGGAGGAGGAGCACCTGAGATGGAAGTTGCAGTGCAGATACGTAGACTTGCACAAGAAAAACTGGGAGCAGAACAGTATTGCTGGAAGGTTTTTTCTTTCCTACTATAATATTTTTTTTTTAAAACTTGTTTAACTGAACGGCAGATACGTTCAGTAATCAAAATTTCCATTTTCCTCACCATTCTTATTTGAAGGCTTTCGCTGATGCGCTTGAGCAAATTCCATATACTTTGGCAGAAAATGCTGGCTTAAATCCTATAGCAACTGTAACTGAATTACGCAGTCAGCATGCAAGCGGAAAAAAGAACTTTGGTGTAAATGTGCGAAAGGTTATCAGTTTTATGATTCATTTTTTTCAATAATTAAATGGTTGGCATTCATCTTTTTTAATTAGACTATCTAATTTAAACAGTTCTGTCAGAAGAGCTTGAAGAAAAAGTAATAATAACTTCTGTAGTATTGATATTTTAGGTGAATATTTCTAAATAAAGTATGGAAAAAATTTTGTAAGGTAATTTTTAACATTTGCAGGGTTTCGTTACCGATATACGAGAAGAAAATGTTTTACAGCCGTTGTTGGTCTCTTCCTCAGCAATCAAGCAAGCAGCTGAATGTGTACGATGCATTTTGAAAATTGATGACATTGTAAGTCATTTCGATTAAATTTTTCATTTTAAATGATGAAAGTTTCGTTTAATTGATTTCGCCATTCACCATTTTCAGGTTATGGCAGTACGTTGATGTGTGAAACAATATTTTCCTAAACGTAAAACAATGCTTTTCTTTCCATTAGTTACACCTTTTTTGCTTCCTTGTTATCCATGCATGCTATTTTTTTTTGAAAAATGCTATTTTTCGTAATATAAATTGATTGCTCTCAATTTTTCGCAAAGTCTGATTAATTCTTAAATGTTGTTTTATTTCATTTTTTCATTATAATTAATCGATTTATTTCATTCAAAGAAGAGAAAGGGAAAAGGATGGGTACTTTCCTCAGATATTTATATAAATGGAGGATTTTTGTAGCCAGCGTATATCTGGGTTAAAATTTTTTATTTGAAAATACATTAAGTCTTATTATTTATCAGCATGTGGGAATAATATGCATTGATGCATAATGCATTCTGCAGCACTGATAAGTTTTTTGACAAGAATAGATGAGAATAGATATATTTTCGGTAAATATAAGGTCAAAAATCATGAAACAAAATGCATCTGCGAAAATTTAAGCATTTTCATTCATTAAAAATATCGGTTCTGCTTTAGTAATGTCTTGAAATTCTTCAGTTCGAGCCAGTCGCCTTATGTTTTCTTGAATATATTTTGAACCGGCTGAATGAGTTTTCCCTAAACAAAATCATAAATTATTAAAGAAACATCGCGACAATGTGATGATTTTAAAAAAAATTTATTTTAGATTTTAGAATACAGTCTCGCAAGATGATATAGTCAGTTCCACTCGGATTTTATTTTTAACGACTTGTTGATTTTCTAGGATTGGATTGTGCTTATATATTAACAGAATAGTGCTTGCTCATAAGATCGGGAATTTGGTTTATCTTCTGATCAATCTAAGCGATAAATCTATATTTCTTTATCATTTTTTAGTTAACGTTGGTTGATTTCAGATTCTAATTTCGATTTTACTTTTTGTTTTCTCACTTTTTTGTTTTTAATATTTTCCAAAAAAAATATGTTAGCATATTGTTCGAAAGAAGTGAAAATCATTGGTTCGATTTCGACATATACAGAAGTGAATTCGCACACTTCAATTGATATTCTTGCAAGAGGTCGATTCGATTAGTCGAATCGGAGATGATAATTGGTTTTTAGAGAAGAAAATGATAAAAGATAACCTATATCATAAAGATCTCTTGTAAAATCAATTTTGTCCAATGAATTAATGGAGAGTTTTCTATTGTTCGAAGCATTCTGTCGTATTTCCGTATTCTTTTCCGATTCCGATAATATTGAATAGTCAAAAGATTCTAGAATAAAAATTAATTTTACGAGATGAACTATAGGGTTAAATTTCGAGATATTCTTTAAAACTTAACTTATCGAATATGATTAATTTTAGATGATAATAGCAAAAAGAATTTATTTTCTCTTCGATTTTATATAATTTTATAGAATTTGTTTTCTCTTCGATTTTATATAATTATAATTTTAACGAAGATTTAAATGGTTAAATGATAATGATAATCTGAACTAATGAATAGTGAAAAGATGATTGATTTTCATTTTATCCATCTTATCCATAATTTATCCATTTTTTAGCAAATTTTGTTTCAGAAATTAGAATGGATGGAAGAGAAATATTTTTTAAATAATGTCAACTGTGATAGTAGTAAATTTTGATAAATTGATAAATTTTTAATAATCACAACTGAAGCATCAAATATTATACTGGTTTCCACTTGAAATGTCTCCTGTTTGTTATTTGCCGGCAATTTTCAATCACTCATCTCATAATCAGATAACTAGCATGAGGAATCTTTATCAAATCTTGCATTTATCGAATATAATTAAACCTATTTTTTTTAAAAAAATCTTTCAACCTTTTTTGCTATCAAAAAGTAAATAATCTTTTGGATTATAGGATTAGTTTGAATTAGTCTGCAAATAGGTTCAATTCCTAATTTTTATCATAGAGAATTAACTCGCTTAGATTTAGGAATAATTATTGGTTAGAAAAAATTATAGAATTACTCTTATTTTTGTGAATTCACAAAATGTATAAATTATTTATACATCGAATAACCAATTGCTTTATTCATATTATACGAAAAAAATACCGCATTTTTTTACCGCAAATACCACTAAGTGAAAATTTACTTTTATGAATCTCGGTAGAATAAGGATCTCCGTGATTTCGTTGTTGTTCAACAGCAACGGCAACCCATCCATCTTCCGTTTCTTTATTGCAGCTATTTTGGTAGAAATTTATCATGTTAAGCGTATCTATTGAATCTGATGCTAGAATAATAATTTATTATAATGGTAATAATAATAATTTATAATAAAAGTAATACTAATAGTAATAATATAATAATATAATATTATTATAATAATAATATAATAATAATAATTATCGACAAGAAAATTTAATAAATAGCTTTTAAAATATTAAAGCTAATGAAAAACTAAAGCTCATACAAGATAGATTATAAATAAATCAAAAATACCGAAAAGTTTCGGCAAATTTGCAAATTTTCAGAAAAATTTTTAGCGCAGAAATTCATTTTAAAAAACCATGAAAAAGGCAAAAAAATGATGAAATAAACAAGTGATTTCTAAAAATCCTCTATTATTGAATATTATTTGGCAAAAGATCGTTCGTTTATCGCTGACCGTCAATGGAACCAACCAAATTGGGAGGGAGCGATGCGTACTATTAGATAGAGAAACGGTCAAGAATGAAGCCTCAGGCTGTGACTGCTAACTAGTCGTATAAGAGGAAAAAAGAATTATACCTGAAGCATCAAATATTATCCTGGTTTCCACTTGAGATGTCTCCTGAAATTGATAAAATTGAACTGATAAAAGAAAAGTTACAATAAAATCTTATTTTTCGAGCCTTTTTGCCATCCCATATTGTTATCAGTCTTGATTAATTGTGATAAAATCAATACCATCTTATACAGTTGCGTTCTTTCTTACTATTATCAAATAAAGTAAGGAAGAACGATATCGAAATTCTTATTTGTTTGATTCCAAAAAGTTTTATCTCATGAATAATAAATATAGTTCTTTAGTGTGGCTTTGCTTCAACTATTGGATTGCTTTTTTTGATTCTTATACATCGATCGTTTATCGATAAGTTTTATTCTAGCAATTAGTGGAATCAACCAAGCAAGAATGCCTTTCGAAGAGCAAAGATTGCATTTAGTTTTATTAGTTCCAATGGCAAATAGGCCAAATTAATTCGAAACTAAAAGAGCTTCAACTAATATCATTATCATTTATCATTTATCTCAAGTTTACCAATCATTTTACCTTTAGCGAAGATGACGATGGTTGATTTTCTTTAGTTCTATACAAATTTACTGAAAATTTTTGTGAATTTTTCTAAAATAATTGCTAGAAAATTGAAAAATTGAAAAAAATTTGTAAGTGATTAAATATTTTTTCATTATTAATTATTTAATCATCATTAATTATTAATCATTATTTCTTCATCAAATATTTTTCCATATAATATATTTATAAAATTTGGTATATATTAATATTTAAAAAATTTGGCAAATTTTTTTTCAAAATTAATCAGCGTTAATTGTGGAAAATTGAGATCTAAATATTTAATAAAACAATAAATAATTGAAGCCATTCAAATATAAAATATAAAATTTTTCTAAATCCTAAATTATCGGCGAAATTTTTGTTTTGCAATTTTTTTAAAAATGATAAATGATAACAATGATAAATAATAAATGATAACAAAAATAAAACCTTTTTGTTTATTTTTTCGTGGTTCATATGGTGGAGATTTTTTAGATTTTCGACAACAAATATTGATACCTTTCATAATTTCCAATTTTTCTAATCAACAAACAAATAGTAAAAAACTAAAAATATTTTTTAAATTGTTCAAATTTAGGAAAAAATTTTTTAGCAATTTTCAGCATTTTAACGTCGAAATTTTCGCAATTTACAGCATTTCAACAAAGACATTTGTAAATGCAATTTTATAAAAACAACTTGCAGTTCTATAATTGATTAAATATTTTAATAATACAATAAATATTTAAACCATAAAATTAAACATTTACTAAATAAGTATTAGATATTTAATAAATATTTTCTAAATGCGAACAAATCAATAAATAAATTTATCATCTTCTGATAACAATTTTTTCGTTTAATTTTGGGCTTAGAATCATCAAAAAATTTAAATTTATCAAAGAAGAATAATTAATTGTTTATAAATAAATGAATGGTGTACCAGCGTGAATTTTGGTAATAGAAAAAGGAATGGCTTCTATTATTGTAAGCGATGGCGTCGGACCAAACAGCTTGAGATTCTTATAGCTAAAGCAGCAAGCCTAAACAGTAATGGCGAGAATTTTTAAAAGAAGAAAACCGTGATGGGTGGCGTCAATAGCGAGGTGGGCCAATCAAAACCTAGACTGATACGATCAGAAAAGATTTTGAACTTATAGCTGGATCAGTAATATATAAACTTAGACGATGGCATCAGACTGCGCCACTTGGAAGCGTCTTACCCTTGGAGCCAGCCTAACCAGTAATGAGGAGAAAAAAATGAATGGTCCATCATTTCTGGTTATGCTAATTCTGTTGGCCATTGGCAGCTAAAAAATTCAAGGAATCACTTGGCCGGAAGCACAGGTGGTTTGCCAATGCCATTAAAATATTTAAAAACAGGTTTCCTATTGGAAATGTATCCGAACAATTCAGTTCCTTTAGTTTTTAATTACACGCACGTCAAACTATAAAATATTTTTTAAATTAAATTTTATAAATTTGTTTTATTAAATTAAAATTTTTAAAATTTTTATTGAATTTTGAAAATTGCTCAGCTTGTAAAATTATGAAATTGAAAAATTTTATTTTTCAATATTTTTTTTGCCTTTAAAATTTATTTATAAAGTTTAAAAAATCAGGCTGCCTATACCACGTTGCTAAAAGCCTTATCATAATACAATTTCTTTTTCTGACAATTCCTGACAATTTGTAGGAACGACGAAATTTTATCACATGTTATCATATAAAAGACCGAAAAAAAACTAAAAAAATTCCTTATAAAAAAAATTTATATTTATGAATCATAAAAAATAAGAATAAAATATAAGAATGAAAAAAAAAAGTTTGCTTCAATGTTACATATTTGCCAACAAATTTGTTAAATATTTTATAAAAAACGACTATGATAATAAATAAAGTAAAAAAAGTAAAATAAATATTTATATAATATTTATATAATAAAAAAAATAAAATAATATAGCTAAATTGCCTAATTAAAAATTATAACAAATTATGTATAAATGAAAACGAAATGAAAAAATGAAATAATCAAATAATTTTGTGGATACTTAAGAGTATAATCGAAACTTTCAAGTCCTATGATGTTCTCAAGCAATATGATGCCAATGATATGATTATCATATCACCGTAATCACAAAAATAACTATTTTGGACAAAAATTTGGCAGTGTGTCGAGGAGAAAATTTAAAATCATTAGCTTTAAGAAGTTAATTCTTTTAAGAAGTTAATTATTAGCTTTTCCAGAAATTACAATATGCTCTTCAGATTTAATATGAAAAATATTAAATCTTGTAGATATCAAATAAATTTATTAAGTTCTTAAAAGAAAAAAAAATCAAAATTTGATGAGAAGACACTTTGGATAAATCGAGGCAATCGAGGCAATCGAGGCGACTTGGACTAAACGCTGACCAGAATCGAATCGGGAGTCCTGGAAAAATGTCTTATTTCAATAGCCGACGTCTTATATTAGTAAGGAACAGCCAAACCGGAGGTTATGCTCGATATTACAAAAGAATCCAGAATAAAATATTGCTATTTCCTTATAATTTTTGATAGTTCTAGAAAAGAATTAATTAATAATAAAAAATCTATTAGTTAATTTTGGCTTAATGGCTAAAACCTTAAAAATACCAAAATCTTTAATAGTAGTATTGTTAATAAGAAGAAATTATGGCCGAGCCTTGTACTGCTTAGACTATCTTCATTAGCCTGCGGATGGAAACTTTGCTAAAAAGAAAGCCAAATTCAGCCAAATTCGGAATTTATCTATATTTCTATTCCGAAATGCTTGACTAGCTGACTCTCCGATTTCATTTTAAGTCAGTGCAATCAGCCAAATAAATAATACTGAATTTTGCACGATAGAATAAAGTAGGAAATAACTATAAGCCAAGAATTTTTCTTGGCCTTTTTTTCGAGGTGGACAATTAGGCCTTAAGGCTTTAACGAAACGCAAATATAATTCGAAGTAATATAAAATTTTAAAAAAAATTTCTCTTCACTAACAATTATTTATTAAATATGATTATATATTAAATGCCTTTAGGCAAATTGAAAATTGTGACAAACACTCGGATAAAATAATATTCATGGTAAATGCATGTGTTTAGAATAAAATGCTTCGATTAGATATGAATTTCTTAAATACATTTTCAATAGACTCGAAAGTAAAACTGCTGTGAACTACGAATTTCAGAAATTTCGCTACCTCTTCTACTAATAGAGTTCACCATTCCTCCTTTGGTCGATTGGTTTTAATCTGGTTAATAGAATGAGATTCCTTTACCAGAGAGCCGCTTCAAGGTAGAAGATAAAAGTAAAGAGAATAAATATAAAGATAATAATAAAGAAAGATAAATAAAGCAAATTAATAACACACAAAAAACTAATAATATTCTGATATTTGACCTTAGTGACCTTTAGAATACGAATAATCAATGCATAGAGATATAATTAAGTCATGCAAACAGTGGAAGAAAAATTAGAGCCGTTTTTGACAAAAAACAAAAAAAAACGATGCTCATGCTTGATAATCATGGAATAGTCACGAACGCAAAAGGAATGTCAATCAAACTAATTAAATATGGACAAAAATAAAAGTAAACACATTTTTAGCTGCCATTATCCAGGTTATAATTCCGTCTTTTGTCTGGCCATTTGAAAATAGAGTAGATCCAAGATATTTAAAGTCGGACTCAACTGGCAACGAATTATGTAAGATTATTTATATAAGCTGAACGAAAAGAGAAAACCACTCTTCGTCGGGTGATAGTGTCGCCTAAGGAAGGAGAAAAGAAGCAGAAAGAAGAATGGAATGACTTAGTGGGTTGTTATTGAATAAGGAGCGCCAATACTGAAATATTACTCCCCTCTTTAAGAATTATACTAAACCGAACAAAAATCAGTTCGTTCAAACTTTTTCGAGTGGATGGATTATTGATGGAATGAGGATAATTCTGGTAGTAAATCATTTAGCAATGCAAAATGGAACCCTAAAAATGAACCCATAGATTTTTTTTGATTGATAAGCTTATTTGACATGTGAGAAGTGAAACAACGAACTGGATTTATGATGTGATGGTTACAATTTTAATTTAGGTAATTCGACCAAACTTATTTTATCAGCGACAAATCAAATTTCGTGATAACAATTTAACAGATCAAAAATTATAAAAAACAAATCAATTTAAAGACTTTATTGATAAATTTTTAATGAACACTTAAAGTGCGCTTTTAGAATTATGAAAGCGCACTTTCAAAAATTTGATACATTTTCAGAAATGAATATTTAATATATAAATTTATAAAATTAAAAATATGATGCAATGAAGCAAGGATAATCGAGAAATGATGTTTGAATTGCACATCACTCCGTGGAAGTACCACAGTTTAGCGAAATGAAACTACTATTAAAAAAACAGATGCCTGTTGAAAATCGTCGATACCCAGACAATTCATGGACAAAAGCGTCACATTTTAGCAGAATGCAAGAACTGGAAAAAGTTCTGCTTAATAGTTCCAAATTTTAATTTTCTTATGCAAGTGGAGATAAATATAGCAACACCAAATGATGGAAGTGGAGCAAAGGTCAAAGTAATTCCAGTGATAGTTGGAGCACTTGGAAATATGACTCTTGAACTAGAAAAATGGACCACTGTCCAGAACAATTCAACATATTATGTTGTTATCAAAGTGTATTGGCAACAAATAGTGATAAAACTGATCATAAAGAAAATAATGGTTAAACAGAAATTACAATTTTGAACTTTGATTTAACAACTAAAATCATTCCAACATTGAAAAGTAAAGATAATGAATTTCATTAGTGCAAGTTTTATACGTATTTATTACTAACAGATAAAAATATCAAATATCAACAAATACTTTTCTTATCAGTTCATTCCAAATGAACGTTACTAAATTAGTGGTCATCAAACTGAAAACTCTACGGATTCCTTGGGATCCACGGTGATCCTCAGGTTGGGAATCTAATTCGAATTAGAAATTCAAATTTTATTTAAATATATCTCGTAATATAACTCGTTTCTTTTTTTTTCAATGATTATTTTGTATAGTTTATCATATTTATTCAAAATTTTTAGATGAAAAAATTTAAATATTTTGAAGTTTCAAAATTTAAACACTGCTTTGGGGATTTATAGATTTTTAAGGCATCATCGAGGCGAAATCCTGAGGACTAATGATCTAAATTATTATTATAGTGCGCGATGAGCTCTAACCATTTCTCATTTTATCACACTCTTCATTATAGTTCAATGAAAAACTTTTAACCACTGAATTACTTGGTGACAGGTGGACCATCGGTATTATCTAAGGCTGAAATAGGTGACTATGTGGGAATCACTACTATAATCAGCGAAGATGTTTTAAAGGAAATTTATATTGGAATGTTGTTCAGCACTTAAGTACATTAAGAATGAGTATATACTGTGTATAGTTTTTTAACACAAGTAGATTTTTCCCAAATTCGTTTATTTTTACACTTAAATTCCTGAATAA